GAACAGGCAGAAGGAGAAGAAGAAGAGAAGCTACAATAACAATGACATTGGCTGAATATTTATGTATGTACATACATGTATGTACATACTTATGTATGTATGTATGTATGTCCATACATATGTATGCATGTATGTGCATATGTTTGCATGCATACAAGCACACATGCATACACACATATACAAACATGCATACATATATATATATACAGACATGCACACAAACATACATGTATGCATGTATATATTTATGTATGGAAAAATACATACATGCATGCATATATATGCGTGTATGTATAAATGTATATGATGTATTAATGATTGCATTTATGTATGTATGTAGACTCCGGACATGTATTCATACATGCACGCATGCATGCATATTTGAATATCAACAAAACAAACATGCGTACATGTATGTTCAAACAGGCACACATATATATGCAAACTTAAAACTTCGCCCAAAAAATGGATTTGTCGAAAAGTGTGCAACAGCCTTCAACAAAATTTGAACAAATATCTTTGCAAATAAATATGAGGCCGATCGGATGGCGGACAGAAAAGTTGCACATAATCGTTTTTCCGATTTTTCAACACATGCGAGTGGAATTTCCCGAAACCCTATCTTAACATGTACCTTCATCACATAAGGTAAGGTTAGTGAACATTTTAGCTTCACCAATCACCAATCCGTCAGTCAGTCAGTCAGGACAAAACTGTTTTATATATACAGAAGATATATGTACATATGTATATAATACACAGATCGGGACTCGGACAATAGCTCACGTTGCCGCCAGCTCATGGACAAACATTCAGCTCAAAATCATGGTCAGACGGTAGACAATAAAAAAAAACAGGTTAGCTGTTGGCGCATTTGATTTGCGAAACGGGTTTCGCTCCCGGCTTCGAGGGCGGTCCACGGCCTGCGGCTAGGCGTGGCACTGACCGCACTAAATCAACGAAAATGTCTAATACATTCGGATTGCTCCTTTTCCCTTTTTTTTTTTATTTTATTTTGGTTTTGGTTTGCTAAAAACTCTTCATTTGCATTTCAATTTCAGGTTTAAGGCCCAAATCGAATATTCCGTTTTAATAGAGCAAGCATTTTAATATAATTACATATAGAAGCCTGCTTTGATCGGACCAAGTGTTTTTCACTACCTTTAACATTAGCTTTCCACCCATTCACTGGACTCAGCAAAGTAAGATGAAACAGGTCTGACAAAGCTCGTTACAAATTGCTTGTTTAATTTCATTAATTATTCACAATATATTTTTCCATGCTTTTAACAGTATTCAATTTACATATTTACATATGTATTAACCTCCTCCCCCTTCGTTTACAAACGCGTTTATCTAAACACGGCAAACGTACGTTTTCTTTGAATTTTTGTTGCTTAAAAAATATGGTTTTCGATTTCGCACGAATTGGACGCAATTAGAAATTCCGCGTTGTTTATAGAACGGCAAAAGGCAGCAGCGGCAGCAGCTGCGCCACCAAAAAGCTCGAATTTCCAGCTAAGGCGCAAGCATAATAAACTATAATTTGTGCATAACAATAAGCCGACAACGATACCGATTCCGATGCCAAATCCAATTCCGATACCGAAAACGATGCCAAAACGAAAGCAAAAGTAAACAAAGCACGGCATGCATATGCCAAAAATAAAAATTGTGCAGAGACTCCACTCCGATTACGAATTGCGAAATAGGCACAAAAAAGGAGATTGCGAAAAGTGGAGGCTGGAAGGGTTTACCGTTGTGGTGAGTATCGGCTTCCCAAAGCTGAGCTAGAAATACGCTCTAATTATTCCCCATTCCATTCCGCATTCCCCACTCTGTGCTATTTTTAGAATTCTTCGATTGCAATGCTGTAAAGTAATTATGACAACACATACATACGAATATTCACACGCATAGGTATGTCTGTATGTGTGTGTCACAGATTGTTGCAATAACTGCGGCACATTAGAAAGTGCGCCCTCAATATACGTACACACACACACACACACACACACATTCAACTAACATTTTTTTGTATTATCAATGGGCAAATATTTGATACGAGTCTACGCTATGTCGTAATTAGATTAGCTGGCACCTGTAACTACACACACACACACACACACACACACACACACACACACGCGTGTGCCAGTTTCTCTCTGCTTCTGCCTGTTTGGGCGTTTTCTTCTTCTTCTTTTCGATCGTTTGGCCTATATTTGACGCATTTTTGTTTTGCTTTTGCGTTTATTTGGTTTGACGCTTTTTTTTCTTTAAATTATTTGGGTTTTATTTACCTTTCTTCCTATCACCTGCTCTAAATGCAATTGCATTGTGCGTATTTTCGTTGTTATCGCTGTTGTTTTTGTTAATACTTATGTATTTTTTATGGGCCATTACATATTTGGCTTATCTTTCGCCTTTTTGGGACACGAACCACTCTTGTGTCGCATTATTGATAAGGCCAAGATTACAAAAAGCGAACCTAAAGTCTAGATATGACAAATATACGCCACATTGAATGAACGAGCTTTTAATTAAAGTTTTTCTCATTCCAAAAGTCGAGCTAAGGCTGGGCCTTTTTCCAGCCAAAGCCCAGCTAAGCCGAACGACTGTGAGTCATGCGGCGAGCCAAAGTACAAAGTTCAGTTTGCAGCGCGCAAAAAAGCAAAGCAAAGCATAAAAACCCAAGGCGCCAAAACGTACATAGCTGTAATTTAGCGTCAAATACATACATATACATTAACCAAGACAGCAGCAAAACAAACTTGCACAAAAAAAAAATAAACAAAGAATAAAAACCATGCTGCCTGCAAAACAAAAATTAAGCCCCCTACATAACTCTATGCCAGTGTTGCCGTTTTTTTTTTTTTTTTTGCTGTCAAATATGGCTTGTTCGAAAATGCAATTGCGAAAGAAATTTGAAAGAAACGTAAAGTTGATATCTATTCGGAGCCCAATCAATTTTCAGCGTTTTTTATCACAACAGAATCTCAGCTTCTCTCCCTTTTCCTTTCCCTAGAGCTAGCTATTTTTCTGATGCTCAAAAGTTGGCATCACTGCTCCCACACACACACTCACTCACACACACATACATACATACATTGGTGACTGCAATTGTTTTGTTGCAGGCGGTGGGCAAGACAACAATACAAACAGTACAATGACCGAGAGCAGTAGCTAAAAAAGCAACTCGGCCATGCAAAAAAAGGTAGTCTGCATAACACCCACCGCAGCGTGGAAAACGTAGTAGAATTGAGTAGCATGTAAAAGCTACTCTATGCCAAGTGTGTTTGTGTGTGTATGTGTACTTATTTATAAACCTGTTGTCAAAGAAAATAGCAACAGCAACAAGAATAACAACATGTTGCTGTTCGCTGTTGTTGGGCTGCACTAAAAATTCCGATCTTCCAGTCGTCGGCGTCGGCGTCGTCAACGTCGTCGTCGCGCCGGCGCTCGGCTCCAATGGAGTGAGTCCCCGCCATAAAGTGCTCGCGAGCGCGGCGGCTGCGCTCAAATAATAAAACAGGTATAACTGTTTGCATGGGTATGCGTGAGGGACTGCGTGCGTGTGAGTGAGTGGAGACTTTAAGAGCTGGGAGCCACAGCAAGCAACATCTTCAACGAAACGGCAGATCAAAATGTACGCTGTGATAACCGTACGAAGGTGAACAGCAAAAAGTAAAGCAGCAAAACACAGTAAAGGCGAGACAACAACATTGAATGTCGACGCACCCTTTTCTTATTGTTTTGTTGCTGTTGTTGTTGTTGCTTATGAAGATTTTAAAGCGCAAAACCACATCCGAATTAACGTAGCTTCTTTTACCTATGCAGATGGAAGCAATAACAATAACAGCAACAACAACGAGCAAAAGAGCGTTACAAAAAGAATGTAGAGTATAGCGGGTGGCGTCCGTCGCTCTCCACAACTAAAAAAAAAATAAAACAAAACGGAACAAAGTATGTAGGCAAAATGCCGACGGCGTTGGAATGCGTTGCTACTGTGTTGTTGTTGTTACTGCATTTTGTTGTCGTTGTTGCTGTTGCTGTTGTTGTTGCTAAGCCGGACATTGCAATTGTTGTTTGTTCTCCAACAAGAGATGCATTTATTGCTCTTCCGCTCAATTGACAATAATTACTAGCATCTAAACTGGAAATGACACAAATAATTTATGGCTTACCTTTTGTCACGTTTCGCCGCTCTATTTAAATCCAAAAATGAACACGTCCAGTATAATCCCAGCATAAATGAACACTTTTTACAATTTTTCACCATTGACACTAAAAAATTAACAGCAAATTTATTGCCACGCTTAATTAAATTAACGCAGCACTTAAATCATTTTTAACTTTGCTGCTGCACATTTTGACGCACAGATCGCGCAGATCGAAGGCCAAACCAAAGAATGGCTATAAAAAAGCAACTTATATAAAAACTGAAACACTCCGATTTGTACAAGAAATTATTTTGATTTACGCATTCGCACAACACTTTACACTTGTTGCGTTGTTGATGTTGCAATTTACTTTTTTCTTGGAAATTCAACGAATTTGTCAAACGAACAAAGCGCGAACCACGCGCGTAACACGTTTGAAAGCGACGACGTCTGAATTGGTACTCAAAGGGGACGGCAAAACGAAACGCAATGCAAGCGGGGCGAATTACAACACAAAATGAAACGACAAAGAGTTATCGATAGTATTGAATAGCTCAACTGTTGCTCGCTGTTGAGAATAGTCTAGCAAATGTTAATGTTGCGCCAAACAATTTACACAAATTGAAGACAAATCTTTATCGATTTTCGACGCATATAAACCGTTCAGCAGAGAGAAGTAAGGTTGTTTTTAGGGTGAGAAGCCAGTATTTGGATATATAAAAACAAAATTTAACAATTGCGTACGTTAACGTACGCAGCAATATCTATCGATATTTAAGGTGAACTAATCGCAGCAAACGATAGTCGATAGTGCAGACTATAAAATGTATCGATGAAACACAAAAACACAAACTGATTTAATTACAAGGAATTAAAGAAATAATTAAAATACGTAGTTTAAAAAAATTACAAGAACTCTAGATGTCAAAGACTGATTTTCAGCTGATTTTAACTGCATGCTTTCCCATTACCCATAACAAACAAGGCAATTAGTTCTTGTTTTTCGATTTGGAGTAAACAAAAAAATAATAATAAATAATGCCAAAATGATTGAAATTCAAGCAAAATTGGTGCGTGCAGACTCTGCAATTTATGCCACGGGCGAGTGCGTCGAGTGTTTAATTGAATTCACGCACAAGCTCTTTGCCGAGGAACAGCAAAAGACGACAGATCGAAACGCCAACGCCGCAAGGTAAGAAAATCGGTTTTACAAATTAATAAAAATAACTTTGATTATGCGCACAGTGTGGAGAACCTGGCCTGGGCCTCGGTCCAGCTGCATTGCTATCGAAAGACCAGCTATAGCACGCCCGCGGGCGACAAGACGGCGGAGCTGGCCGAGCTCATTGGACGCACTGCGCTGGATGCCGTCACCCAGACGCCCGGCGAGGTCATTGTGGCCACCAAGCCGAAGATTCTGTTTTGCGATCTCAAGCTGCTGCCTGGCGAGACCAAGATGTGTGGGTGTCGACCAAGCACGGGTCTTGTGTTCCCTTTAATTCAGATTTCTTTTGCAGATTTCTTCAACGAGTTTGTGCCGCGGGATGGGCCGCCCACGTATCGTGGCCACGACATACGCTACTTTTACAAAATCACCATTGCCACGCAGCGTGTGAAGTCCAAGGTGCAAACGCTGACCGTGCCGATCCGTGTGCTGCCGATACCGTTGATAGCGCGACCGGACGAGCTGCCGGTTACGGTGGAGACTAACGAGGAGCTGGCGCCAACCAATCCGTTTCTGGAGAAGCGCGAGATAAGCGAATTGGAAATATCCTGGCATCACCTGAAGGTGTGTATCAACAATAAATCCTACTAAATAAATCAACGATTCGTTTGCAGAATGTGACCGCACGGCGTGCTCCCAAGTTCTATCGGATTTCGAACAAGCGCGGCTTTGTTGGACGCTTCTGCCTGTTCAAGCCCGCGTACAAGCTGGGCGAGGACATTGTGGGAAGCCTGGATTTTGGCAATTGCCAGGTGCGTTGCGTGCAGTTCTCTGTGAAGCTGCAACAACAGGAGCTGCCCATACGCCCGCAGCTGGAGCCAATGCAGGCACACGCCTGCGATGATGCTTCCTCGCTGAATTCCTTCGATATGGCCAGCATAGCCAGTGGCATTGCTGTGGATAATATGCACAAGTCGGAGACCTCGGGCAGTGCGCGCAACAAGGATGAGCCCACGCCCACGGGCAAGCTGAGCACTATTTCCACGTCCCATCAGGTCTGTGGCCAGCTGAATCTCTGTTTATCTCCTAATCCTTTATCATATTTGGCACACTTTCCAGGTCTGCTATGCGACGCTGCAGACTCAGGTAGTTGTGCCCATTCCTCTGCATGTGACGCCTACATTTCGCACGGATCTGGTGGATGTTAAGTGGCGTCTGCATTTTGAATTTGTCACCAGCACCCTGATGGACTTTGGCACACCGAATCCTGCGTCCGGCGAGCTCAAGGCGCCCGCCGAGCTGCCAGTCGAGACAATGGTGTGGAACTTGCCTGTTACAATTTACGCGGCGAATCCGCTGCAGATATATGCGCCGAATCAAACATATAATCTCTTGATTAAGTAATTACATAAATATACATTGTTGCTGTAAATAGTTTGTACTTGTATGAGTTAAATTCGATTCAAATTGGCGCGCTACGCATTGTTGATATTTCAAACACGGGGTGGCAATACTAAACGGCTCGCCTTGCCAGACTATCAAATATGGTGCTGTTAATAGCAGTTCAGCATATATTGGTGTTATTCTCACTGTTAGAAAACAGTGTTGTGTGACTGCGAACGTATAAAAACAATTTTTCAACAAAAACTAAACATATAGATAAAAACTAAAAGTCCGAGCTGGGCAACCTCAGAAAAGGAAACGCCATCATGTACCAGGAATATCTAAATCAATTGCAATCGTCACTCTTTCCGATGAACTCGGACCAACTGAAAGAGCTGCTCAACAACGATGACAAACTGGACGAAAAGGTGGACGAAGTTCTCGAATCGCTGAAAACACAAAAAGTCCGCTTCTTCGAGGAGAATCGCAACAGAGCCGAAAAGAACATTGAGAAGGAGCCAAAAATCATTGAGCTGCGCGGCAAGTTGGCCGAACTATCGGAGGAGGGACGCACCAGCTGCGCTGCTGTCCAGGAATTGCTGTCACAAATCAAGGAGAAAACTGGAGGCGTCAGCCAGGAGACCGCGTTGGCTCTGCTCCAGACAGCCGCCTCCGAGAGCGAGGAGAAAACAGAAGAGATTGTGAAAAAGTTTACCGACAACGAGCTCAACGTGGAAACATTTCTCGATGAGTTCCTGACCAGTCGACGCACAATGCATCTGCGCAAGCTGAAGGCCGAGAAAATGCAGGAGCTGATCCGCAAACAGACGGCTCCGCAGCGTCACAGCACGGGCGGCGGGGGAATGCCCGCCTATGGCAACCTGCCTGGCACTGGCGGCGGCTTCTATCCCAATCCACACATGGCCGGTGCAGCCAATGTGCCCTATCCAATGATGGGTCCCATGATGCCCATGCCGCCGCCGCCAAGACCCTACTGAGAGTTAAATGTAGTTCTAATTAAGCCCGATTCGGAGACGCTGCCGAAGCTGCCATCACAACGAGAATGACTCATCCGAGTGCTTTGTTTACATATTGCGTGTTTTATATACAAACAAATGAAATATTACGGAATTTGAATTAAATTGGCAATAAATGCAGGCTTTTCGAGTTAAAAATCTTGGGTTTATTGTTTAAAATGTTTCAATATTGCATTTTAAGTACATTTGCAGCTTCACAATTCTCTGGCTGTGGTTTATGTTTCATATATTAAAAACTAAACTCTATGATATATTATATTTTATATAAATTAGGCGAAAATTAATTACATTAATTAGACAGTGAAAACTCGTGAGTGTGTGTGTTAAATATAATTTTAATTAAAATGGAAAAAACAACTTATATTGTATGATTAAATTGGGGCTAATGTTAAATGAAGCCATGGGCTAGGAGGCATGTTCATAATAGGCTTAGTTGCGATTGGAAAGGATTGGAAGGATCGTGCACATGCTCTATGATTGCCTTAGATTAATCTCAGGGATCAAACAAATTTGATTGCCCGTCTGAAATCAATGATTTGTTATTTTGTTGCTAAGCTTTCAATTTCACTTTTGCTTAGGTTTCTTATTTTTTTAATATTTCCTCTTTAAGAACTGTTAGTCTTTTGAATTCCAACGCTTCGTGTATATATGCATATATCATATATACACATATATATGCAAAAGATTATATATAAAATATGTTCAACATTTGTCCGGCCGGTTTACACTTTAAAAGCTTTTGTTAAAACTATCTGTGTGTATTGGTTGTTATCAAAAAATATTTATACATATAGATAGATGCCTAGGTTTGTTGAAATCCGTGTGTAACGCCATCATGACGAACCGAATTCCCTCATCCACTTCTCATACTTGTCCAGATCGGCTCTGGACACACTTTTATTACAGCGACTGATGGCTTCGTTGAAATCCTTAACCGATACCGGCAGATCCACCTCCTCGGTGGCCAACTGACGGATTTGTTCCGGCGTCAAACCGGCTATCTTACGCCGCATGGACATCATGCTGGCCTCCCTATAAAGCAACCAAAAACGCAATTTAAACTTTAACACCCATTCCTGATGCAACTCTCACATACCTGCACACATTGGTAATGTCTGCGCCGGAGTATCCCTCCAGCTGATTGGCCACATAGTTCAGATCGACGCTATCGTCAACCTTCACTTCGCGCAAATTGATCTTTAGCAACGCTTCACGGCCCTCGTCCGTGGGTAGTGGTATGTAGATACGCTTCTCCAGACGCCTTCGCAGCGCCTCGTCAATATCCCATGGAAAATTGGTGGCTGCCAGCACCATGACAACTTTTGCCTGCTCTTCCCCGCCGCCCACGCCATCCATTTGCACCAAGAGCTCCGATTTGACGCGTCGCGATGCCTCGTGCTCCGATTCAGAGCCACGCCGCGAGCACAGAGAATCAATCTCATCTATGAAAATTGTGCTGGGCGCATAAAAACGCGCCATCTCGAACAGAAGACGAACCATTTTCTCAGATTCGCCACGATACTTCGAGGTCAGCGTGGCGGAGCTGACATTGAAGAAAGTGGTGCCACATTCGGTGGCCACTGCTTTGGCCAGCATTGTTTTGCCCGTGCCAGGCGGGCCAACCATTAGGACGCCCTTCCACGGACGTCGTATGCCCTGCATAACACATGGAAAGCATTAAAGAACAATTGATAAACAGGTAAAGTGGTAAAAATTAGATGCATTGCTTATCAGCTATACTTCTGAGTTTTTATCAACAGTTTATAGCGATTAAAGCTGGCTTTACAAGTCAGTACCCGACTATGATTTGACCTGTAACAAGCTACAAGCGGCACGTAATATTCCCAAATACATATACAAAATCGGAAAAGCAACGAAAGTATTCGGATCTTAGTCTCTAGACGTGTTTATGCAGACGGACGGATAGACGGACACGTGGTGGGAGATGTCTGTTCTTTAATTTCGCTCTCAACCATAATACCCTAAGTTTTCATTGCCCACAGGGTATAACAAATAGGCTTGCTGATGATTCAGCCAAGCGCAGGTGACATGATGACGCACCTTGAAGTAGTCGGGCATCAGCATAGGCAACACAACGGCCTCCTCCAGCAGTCGCTTGGCATCGTGCAGATCAGCAATGTCGCTCCAGCGCACCTTGGGATCTTTTTGGAGTATATCACGTTCTGAGCAGGATGCAGAAGAATATGTTAGCCGGGTCAACCGAGCAGCTGAGGAGCTCTTTACTTACCCAATATGTCGACCAGCTCTGCTTCGATGTGATTGTTGGGTTGAAATTTGCGCTCCTCTTCGACTGCCTGTTGCTCACCCGCATCGCCGTCGGCTGTGGAGCCATTGATGACCGCTGCTGTCGCGTCGTCATCTTTGTTGTCGTTGTTGTTGTTGTTGCTGGCGCTGTTTGAGGTGGACAATTTACGTCCGGTCACGCGGCCATTGACGCCGCCACGTGCACTATTCGATGTGGAGGCCGATGGACGACTATTGCGCGCAGTTCCAGCTCCATTGCGGGCAGTGCTTTGTGGGATTGTGCTGGGCCGGCCGCTGCTCTGCGTGCCGGCTGCTGTTGTACGGCGGCTATTTGCTGCTGTTGCCCGCCGACCCACCGTCTGTACGGGCGGCGGTGGTTTGGGCGGGCCCCATACATCTGGATCTTTCGGTGGCGGCGTCCATATGTCGGGATCGGGCTTAAACCATGCAGCAGGATCCTTATTTACATTGCTATCTTCGCTTAGCTGCGAGCGCAGCTTATGAGCAAATTTTGTGTTTTGCAAATCCAACGAAATGTCCTGCAGTGTGCGTTGTATGGCCTTTACTTTCGCATGCTCCTGATTGATTTGCTGATTGATCTGTGATGTAAACCATGGCAACCTTTAATCTCAAAGAAAGAACTTCAGTACCAATCACTCACCATGCTCCATTTGCCCTTGCGCATGGGATCTACAGTGCTTTTAAGCAGGCGCGCCAGCATGCCCTAAAATAAAGAGGATTAGCAATTGATTTCTCTAGTTTTTTATACCCTAGCAGAAGGTATTGTAACTTCGGCACATATATTCTTGATCAATATCAACATTAGCTATTTTCTAGCTAAATTCGGATATTCTTTTTCAAGTGAAACTTAGCAGCTTCTAACAGATAAGCAAAATCTGATCAGTATCCACATACTACTTCAGAGAAAATATAGGGTATTTCATCTTCGGCAGTTCGTAAATTTAATTTTTGTTATGTTTCTCTATGCTTTATTCATACCTGCAATCCCTCGTAGTATATGCAGGCCGAGTCGTAGTTGCCTGTCAGGGCCATGTCTCTTGCTAATTTGGCATTCTCGCATATTTCTTCAATTGTAGTTTTGGCCATTACGGTCATTCCTACGCAAGTGGTTGTCTTTTGCTTGCCACCTCGCAGTAACTGTTCGAAATCGGAACAGGTTGTTGTCGTTGTAACCAAAAACGAAACAAAGATTAGTCCCAATTAAAGTCATGAGCACTGTTGTTGTTGTTGTTGTTATTTTTACTGCTGCTTAAATGCGTAAGCTTATCGTTCTCTCACTCTCTCACTCCGACTGTCTTTGTATTTACTCTCAGACAATAGAACGGAAGCAACGCAGCGGCTTTGTCACTCACTCACACTCACACACACACACACGTGCACACGTACAGGCGGAGACAATCGGACACACACACTTATGTAGGTAAAAATGGAAAGTAAGTATTGGTCGCGCTATGCTTCAGCCTCAAAATAACCGAAAATAATAAAAGAAGATAGCAATGGCAACGACCGAAGACAACTACAAAATGTACTAGCACTTAAATCCATACATACATATGTAGACACAGACGGCAAGTGCGCTAATTATAAGCACAATTGTTCGAACCCGTTGCCACTGTTGCTGCTGTCACCAAATTTAAAACAAGAACGTGCAACTGCGCCGCGCTCTCATTTCCGAGTTGTTAGCCCAAAGTGAATCGGAATCCGTTTGGCGAAATGTAATAAAATAAATATGAACCTTGCCGTTGACAAATAAGGCGCTTGACCTTGTTGAGTCGTCGTAGCTGAGGCTTTTGAATAATTCTTTCAAGTCAGCGACGTTAAAACTTTGCAAAAAAAAAAAAAAACTAACACAAGCGCGCGCACATACACATACACACAAACACACACATACACACAACAAGAATGAGCAGAAGCAGAGAAAAACAGAGCTCAAATTTCCGCGGCGTTTAAGTTTCGTCAAACACACTCACACTCACACACACAAACAGCCGCTTGCTGCCTTCAGTTTAAATGCACATAAAATACAATTTTTAAATAGAATAACGATAATTAGTTGCAGGTAATTCTGTATGCGTTTCCACTTGCATTGTTAACAATTTTAATCTCGTATGCGCTACGTGGGGGCGTCAGCAGTGACGACTTCGTCCAGTTCCTCAATGTTTTCGTTAACCAGCCTACTTACGGTTATGGACATTAGTACACTGGCTTTGTTACACGGCGTTACGAGCCTAAACTGTATGAACAAATTTATTTGTTCAAATTTAAAAGCAAAGCATTAGCTAAAATAAACGGGTGCTGCGACTTTTGCGGCGATTGTTGTTGCTTAATACTAACGCAATGCCAGTGATGGCTTCAAATATCGAATTATTTTCTGTGTGCCGATATTTCATTAGATATCGCACTTGCCAATGAAAGCTGGACTATTTAAATAAATTGTCATTATTGTATTATTTCCATTAGACTACATCGGAATGGATAATTTTGACAGTTTTTTCTCCATAAATTTGCTTAAATTTATCCAAGATCTTTATTTAGCACAGTGGCAACCTAACTAATGCTGCCACTTGTCGAAATCATTCAACGATTTGTACACTGTAAATTCTGACTTTTGACAAATATATTGTAAATTTTCCAAAAATAATCTGATAAATACAGTAAAAAAAAAACAACAACAAGAAATTGTTTGTTTTTACAATTCAAACAAGGTGGCAATATCGATAATTGCACAAAGCGATCGATAGCTACAAAGCGGCAGTTAAGTTCCACCTCTAATTGGAAGAGCGGTCGAGATACGGTCAAACTGACTAAATAAGGGGGTCTTGCAGACCTAAACTTAATTTATATGAATGCTAAACAGTGGCATACGTAGTCACACGCACTTGCAAGAGCGAACATAACATGTAAGACAACCGACTCAACTTATTGTTTAGGCTACTTAACATGTTCGACCTACAGCTTGACCGTGTCTGGGCCCCCTATAGATAACAAAAGAAGCAAGCACACCATTTGAGTCTCATAATATTTTTGGCTTTAGATTGCTTAAGGAAGGTATTTGTGTGTTAAATTTAGCGCTTACGTTAGCGCCGGATCCAGCATGGCAACGCCCACACGAGCAACACTCGAGAAGGCCCTGAAAAGCGAATCCAAGCTGCAAGCAGCGGCCACACAAATTGCAAATGGTAAGCGAAACACTCAAATCAGCTGGTCTCTATAGTGTCTTTTTGTCTGCGAGCCAGAGCTTACCGGTGGAACCTACAACATTGCTGATCTGGCCGAGCAATTGGGCTTTGCATTGACATCGCCGGACACCGAACAACGCGTGGCCGGCACAAATCTGTTGTCGGCTGTGCTGAGCGCTCTGCCCGGTGATGTGTTGAGCTCAAAACAATTGGAATTTCTGACGACCTTCTATACGGATCGCTTACGCGATCATCACAATGTTATGCCCGCCATAATTGAGGGCCTCAATGCCTTAGTGCGCATGAAGCAGCTGCCGGCTGAGAGTGTGCCCCTCCTGCTGCACGCGTTTTTCCAGTACACCACCTGCCAGTCGCAGACGCGCGGCGATCGCACCAAGGTGTTCAACATGTTGAAGTTCCTGACATCGCATTTCCAGCCAGGTGAGTTTTGCTTTTTGCTGACCTTCTGAGTGTTATACGCCTCGTCTGTTTGCATTGCAGAGCTTGTGAAGATGTCGGGTGACTTTTTGTACGGGCTGATTAATTCCATTGATGGCGAACGTGACCCGCGCAATTTGGACATCATTTTTAGTTTCATGCCAGAATTTATATCGCAATATCCACTGCTGCATTTAGCCGAGGAGATGTTCGAAATCTTCGCCTGCTATTTTCCCATTGATTTCCATCCCAGCAAACAAGATCCGGAGGCCATAACACGTGATGCTCTGGCCGAAAAGTTGACCAACTGTCTGGTCGCCAGCGAACAGTTTGCCGAGTGGACCGTATCGCTGGCCGTGGAGAAGCTCGACAGCGAGCTTTTAGTGGCCAAATTAGATTCCATTGAGCTTCTGGTAAGCTACACCGATTTTAAGCCTTACAGTGAAATCGACTAATCCGATTTCAATTGCGTTTAACAGCATCAAGCGGCTCTCAAGTTTAAACCGGACGCACTGGAGCCGCATTTCGCTCAAATCTGGCAGGCATTGAAGGCGGAAACATTTCCAGGATCTGATAATGCGGATGTGCTTAGATGCGCACTCAAAGCACTCGCCGAGCTGCTGAAGAGCGCCGCCAAAGTGCCGAGCATCAGCCAAAACTATCAGAGCACCGTGCTGGGCGTTGTACTGCCTCATTTGAGCGATGTTCACCATCGTCTCTTTCATCCAGCCACTGCTATATCTCTGATGTGTGTGTCTGGCGATGCGACATATGCCGCCGACAAGATACTCAACACATTTCTGCTTAAGCTGCAGGCCATCGAACTGAATTTGGCGTGTTGCGAGGAGCGCATAAGATTCTATCATATTATCGCGCAGGTTTATAAGCTGGCCGCTCTGCGGGATTCCCTGTTGAAGCTGGACAAGACCATACTGCTGCCACTGCAGGATGATGTCATACAGGCGCTGCGTCTGTGTGAGTGCGACGATTTTGATGCCAAGCAACAGGATTTGGAGCTGCAGCGCGCCGCCTTGTCCGTGTTGTGCGAGTGTGTGCCCGTGCTGAGTGAGGAGCAGCGTGCGCTCATCTACAAGGCGCTGGTACAGCTGGTTAGCCATCCGCACATTGATCTGGACTTTAAGATGCTGACCGTTAATCTAGGCGCACTGCAACCCGTCGAGCTGCAGTCCAACTTCATAGACATTTGCATGCGCAACTTTGCGATATTCTCCGAGTTCATCAAACGTAAGATCTATGCGAATTTGCTGCCGCTGCTGCCGCAAATAGCGTTCACCCAACGCATACTCGACCTGGTTATGAAGCAGCTGTTTACGGAAACTGTCGCGGAGCCGGGTCGTCTGTTGGCCTTGGAAGCGCTGAGCGCTCTGCTTATTCAGGAGGATCAACGCTTTATTGTCGAGCTGCAGCAGCAGTCAAATTTGCTACACAAGCTCATCGAGCTGGCGAACCAGACTCCCGAATTACCGCTGGCATCGTTGGAGATAATTGCCGCCGCACTGAGTCGGATTATGCAGCAGCTGCCGCTATCCGAGCAGAGCGCCATTGTAAGCGAGTATCTGCCGACGTTGGAGTTACACCAGACAGCCCATCTGTACGTGGCCAAAGGTCTGTTGGGTTACTTGCACAAGGACATCAGTTTGGATGATCATTTCGAGCGGCTGCTGGACGATCTAACTAAGCTATCGCTAAGCACGGATAACGAGCAGCTGCGTGAGATTGCGCATCACTTGCTCTGCAGTCTGGTCAATAAAATGGACAACAATGAGGCAAACCGCAACCAAGTGAAGCGCATCGCGCATCAGTTAAAAGCTGCCGTCAAAGCTGGCGACGAGCGCGCCGTCCATCTGCTGGCCTGGCTAGCCAAGGGTCTGGTGGTTGCTGGCTTCGAGGAGGCTGCCGAAATTATCAGCGATGTGAGTACTGAGTCCAACTATACTTAAACAATTGACAACTGTTTGCTTCCTTTTTTATTTGGTCAGCTCACGGATCTGCTGGAGCATCCGAACCTGAGTAACGCCGCCGCCTTAGCCTTTGACATTATCGCTGCAGAGTATCCAGAGTTGGATTTGCCTGTGGTCAAGTTTCTGTATAAGCAAAAGTTCTTTCATACCATTATGAACAAACTGGGCACAAAGCTCTCCAGCTGCTGCGAACATCATATGAAGGCATTCATCTATGTGCTGAAGGCAACGCCTCATTCGGTGATAAGGCTGAATATCAAGCAGCTGGGTCCGCTGCTCTTCAAGACCCTGGATGCCCACAATGATGCCCATTCGCTGTGCATAGCTCTGGGCATTTGTCAGAACTTTGTGCAGCAGCAGGATGCGTATTTTCAGGCGCATCTGGGACACATTCTGCCCAGTTGCCTGGAACTATCCAAGCAAAAGACGCAGCTCAACATGGTGAGTGCAGCGTCGGGCCTTTGCTAGCTAGCTTCCTTCCTTATTTCAATTAAATATTAATTTCCCCTACTCAACACACAGCAAGTGCGCATAGCAGCCCTCGAGCTGCTTTATGACATAACCAAGTATCCAACTTATGTCCTGTTGCCCCACAAGGTGGATGTGACGCTGGTTCTGGCCGATGCTCTGGACGACCCCAAGCGCCTGGTGCGGAATGCCGCGGTCAAGGCACGCAATGCTTGGTATCTTGTGGGCGCGCCTAGCGGGGATTAGCAAGCCGGCAAACGAATTGTTGTTAAAATATTGATACAATTGACAAACAAAAGCAAATACGCACAACTGTTAAGATAACGACTATTTATTTGATGTTTCTCTAGGACGGTGGGACGATGGGTTAGCTGATGTTCAGTAGGGATGCTCGCTCTGCGATCGCGCCATTAGGGCACATTTTTGGGCACGTTGCACCACGTCCGGGCAGCGACGCCTCCGCATGAAGCGGCAGTCCTGAAAGTAGCCCTCGTTGCGTGGAAAGCCGTGCGTAAAGTCTTGAAAGGTCAGCAGACCCAGACCCCAGATTTTACCGCCACGAAACTCACCCTCGTATTTCATGCCATCCGAGCGCCAAAAAATGCCGTTCCCATGAAACCAACCCTGATGGAACTCGCCCTCGTATCTGTACAGTGCAAGTGTTGTCATTTGAGGTGGAAGGAAGCCAAGGCAAGACAATTACTCACTTGGCACCATCGGGAAACCAAAGGCAACCCAGTCCCTGGCTCAGTCCCTCCTGAAACTGTCCATCATAGCGGGTGCCATCGGCAAACTGCAGATGGCCAATGCCATGCTTCTGTCCGCGTTGATTCCATTCGCCAATGTAGCGACTAGCGTCCTCGTAACGCCAGCCGCCAACCTTGACGGCGCCCCCGCTGCCCTGTCCCTGTCCCTGTCCCTGCTGATGGCTCTGCTGGTGGTGCTGTTGGTTCTCGATGCGCGCCGTGGTTACGCCCACGCTGCTCACTAGGATTGGATGAGGTTTTTTTAATTAACGAGCAGTTTTTCATACAAAAAGCGTCCACTAACTGTCATCCTCGTAGTCGTCCATGGCCATGGTTCCAGCTGCCGTAATATACTCTGCACACGACGCGTTCCAAGCAGCTACTGGGCCGGGGCTGGCATTAACCGTGCCGCGTCTGCAACTGATGCATTTTTTCTGTGGCTTCCATGCAGCGGCCCTTGCTTTAAATCTAATTAGCATATTGAGCCACTGCACAGTGGTATAAAATAATAAAAAAAAAAAAAACAACTTAAAAAGAATTCCATTCGTCTAAAAGTTATGCTACATCCAGATGTTAGACGTTGATATGGATGGGTTTTCCATTGTGGGTTTCTCCCTTTGATGCATTTTTGCATTTTTCACATGGCATTGGCCAACTGTTTGCCGTTGCCAAGGCTAGCCAGACGGGCAAGGGTAACCATGACTACGTCGAGCGACGCCACAACAAATCCCAGCTAGAAATTTTCATTACTAAGCAGAGCCGGTAAAATGCTGCACCAGGGCATAATCCTGCGCGAGGGACATGTCACGCGAACCATCTACAATCTGGTAAGCTGCACATCCAATTGCACATCATCAGCTAAACAAGCCATGCCTTGGCCAGATCAAGGACAAACGCTATGAGGACGTGGTCGAGTGTATTGCGAGCTGCGGCGAGGCGGCCAATACGCGAGCAGGTCTCTCCACGCTGGGCCATTGCTACTATCATGCCCAGAAATACGAGGAGGCGGCCAGCTGCTATGAGCAGCTCTGCCAGCTGGTGCCCAAGGAGTCCAAGTACAGGTGAGTCTGCTGAAGATCAATTCTAGATCCCATTTACGGTGACTGCAAACGCTTGGCAGATTCTACTATGCGCAGTCGCTCTACCAGGCGGGCATTTTTGCGGAGGCACTGCGTGTCCTGAAGCAGATTGGTGACAAGGAGTCGGAGCTGCATGAACTATGCCTGCAGCTGCAGAGCGCGATACTCTATTCGAGTGAGGATTATGCTGGCGCCCAGAGCCTGCTCAATCAGCGCGCCGGCGGCACTGCCGATACGCTCAACGATGAGGGCTGCCTGCTCTTCCAGGCGGATGAGCACGAGGCGGCGGTGCAGCGTTTTCAGTCGGCTCTCCAGGTGGGCGGCTTCAATCCGCTGGTGGCCTACAATGTGGCACTGGCGCACTTTCAGCGCAAGCAGCGCGCCCAAGCCCTGGACTACACATCGGAGATTGTGGAGCGCGGCATGCGCAATCATCCAGAGCTGGGCATCGGTGCTCAGGTGGACACGGATGGTAGCGCACGCAGCGTGGGCAATCCCATTACCATGGCCTTGTCCGGAATTACGCAGGCACTCAATCTCAAGGCGGCCTTGGAGTATCAGGATGGCAATGTGGAAGCGGCACGGGATGCCCTGCTTGATCTGCCGCCACGCGCGGAAAGTGAGCTGGATCCGGTCACGCTGCACAATATGGCCCTGACCGATGCCCAGGGCCCGGTTGCGGGCCTACGCAAATTGGCGTTCCTGCTGCAGCTGGGTGCACCTGCCTGCCCCAAGGAGACTTTCGCTAACATTCTGCTTACCTGCTGCAAGCACGAGCTCTACGAGACGGCCGCTGATATTCTGGCCGAGCACACGGACCTCACATACAAGTATCTATCGCAGTATCTGTACGAGCTGCTGGATGCGCTGATTACGGCTCAGACCAGTGGCGAGCTAGCCGAAAAGAAGCTGGGCACGCTCGCCTCCAGCTTGTCGGGTAAGCTGCGCAGCCTGGCCGCTCGGGTGCAGGAGGTGAGGGCTACTAGTGAGCAGCAGGCGCTAAGGGATGCCCTCAAGGATTACGAGCAGGCACTGGAGCTGTAAGTGAAACTTCTTGCCGATTGACTAGATAAACATATATTCTTCCACAGCTATCTGCCCGTGGTCATGGCACGTGCCTGGATCTCTTGGCGGGAGGATGACTTTCTGGGCGCCGAGCGTGAGTTTCGCTCCAGCGCAGAGTTTTGCTCCGAGAACGCCATCTGCTCTGTGTGGCGCCTGAATGCCGGCCATGTGCTCTTCATGCAGGACAAGTACAAGGAGGCGGCCGCCTTCTATGAGCCCATCGTGCGCCAGCACTCGGACGATGTAAATCTACTCCCTCTTACTCATTCAGCCTGCCTACCACGTACTCATGTGTATCTAAATCTCTTTTCAGATCATGTCCGTGTCGGCAGCGGTGCTGGCCAATTTGTGCGTCTCCTACATTATGACGTTCCAGAACGAAGAGGCTGAGGAGCTGATGCGCAAAGTGGAGAACGCCGAGGAGCTGAAGGGTAATCAGGGCAAGCAGTATCATCATTTATGCATTGTCAACCTGGTAGTGGGCACCTTGTACTGCGCCAAATCGAACTACGAGTTCGGGCTCTCGCGCATCGCGCACGCCCTCGAGGGCGGCTCGGGCGCACGCCTTTATGCGGACACCTGGCTGCATGTCAAACGCTGTGTGCTTGGCCTTCTCACCGGCATGGCCAAACAGAACATTATCCTGCCGTATCCGGCCGTCCAGGAGGTGCTCAATTTCCTAAAATCCTGTGAAGCCTATGGCCTGTTCACGCCAGCCAACATTTATGCGGCCACGGAGCAGCCACCCAGCGAGCCGCTCACCATTGGACTAGAAGCCCGAAAACTCCGGCTGCTCTTGATAAAGTTAAGCGAGTATGAAAATTAATGAGATTATTTTTAGAACGTTAGTCATCAATCAGTCAATTAAAAAACCTGCTAATAAAGTTCTCGGTAGATGAGCTCAAATCCGAGCCTAATATGCATGTAGCCACATATGGGGACTAAATATAATCGGAAATCTGTTAGTGTTATCTTCACAATTCGTAATTTTATAAGTTTATTTCAATATATGCTGCGCTGTTATAGGGGATTGCATATGATTTTGGGAATGGGCTACAAGTGTTGCGACATGATTATAGTGGAACAAAAAGTCCAAACGAAAAAAATACACAGAAATGCCAAGTGCAAGCCAAAAAGAAATTTGTGCTGTAGCTCCAACATTAACATAGATACATATTTATATTAATATATATAGATGTATAGATGGGCGGGCGTGTGTCTAGGCCAGCAGTGCGGACGTGGCCATCTCGCTGACGCCGCAGGTGTTGTCGCCGCGGTAGACGCGATAGTAGCCCTGCTCGCCCCAGCGCGGACCCCACGAGTTCTTAACGATCCAATAGGGCAGCGTCTTGTGGAAGTTGGGATAGTCGGAAACGCCGTAGCCGACAATCAGTACGCCGTGGTCGAGATTCTTTTTGCTGCACAGCGGCGACCATGGATGCGAGACACCGCCGCGATAGAACTGCATGGCATTGGCATTGATGCCTGTTGGGCGAGTCGAAACGAGAGTTAAATAGAATATATATATATTGAAAGGGTCTACGCACCGATGGAAATGGGTCCGTTTGCGAGCAGCCACTCCTGCATGGCAGTCTCATTGCCCTTGGGTAGGTCGACAAAGCCGGACACTTGCACATGGGACAGCGTCTTGTTGAAATGGCACTGCTTCTTCTTGCCCTCGTATGGATACTCAGACTCGTATTCCAGGCCGCCAATGTCCTTGATGGCTCTGCGAAAGTCGTGTTGCGATTAGAGTGCATAAATTGAAATTGAAACTGCAAAACTTACTTGTAAGCATTGTCCATGAGTCCACCATTGCAGGCACTATCCTTGGAATCGCAGTCGAGCAGCTCCTGTTCGGAGAACTCCTGCAAGTCGCCAGTTTTGATGGCATACGCGCCCTCAATGTTGCCGGTCACACTGAATGCCCAACAGGAACCGCACTGTCCCTGGTTCTTGACATGCGTCACTGCATTCTTTTGCCGCCAGTCAAATTCCTTGGGCAACTCACCCGCATGGGCGGGCACCACAGCAGCTGCGCCGCCCGTCGGCTTGTCCTCGCTGCGCTGCCAGAGACCGGCGCGCTGTGCGTACTCCGTGCTGGTCATGTCCGCAAACTCGGTAATGCCATACTTGGCGCTGCCTTGCTCATTGGCATTCAGCTCCTGGATAGTCTTCAGGCTCTGGCGGAAAATGCGCAGCCGCATCTGATGCTCAGCGCTGTTGGCATAGCGACGCTTGTACTTGACTTGGAACTTGTGGAACAGATGCTCCACCTTGTTGAGCGTGTGATGATTGTGCTTCTTGTGTGTCTTCTTCTCGGCCCACTCCACGGAGCGGCTGTGGCGAGCATGCACGGCTGGCTGATTGTGGCACTTGAACGTCACTTCGTGTCCCTGTTCCAGCCACGGCTGCGCCCAGATCTCCACAATGCAGCGCCGCTGTGCGTCATTGCTGTCAACCAGGTCCGCATCGATGCGCGTCAAAGTGCCCGAGACAACCTGACGCGTGGCCGAATAGACCTTGACAATTCTGTGCGACAGAAACAGGTTTTTAAAATGTGAACACAAAATGAGACGCAGCTCAGATCAGTCACCCACCTGTAGTGCGGTCCCTCGCCAGCGGTGAGCTTGTCCAGCGTACGCTGCAGCTGCTCCTCCGCCTGTTTCTCATCGTAGGGCTTGCGGCCGCCCACGGGCACATCGTTGAGGCTACGCCTGTTGCGCGATAACTGCAATTGCAAAGTAAGCTGAGGTTAGGAAAACTACAGTGAAAGTACTCTTGAACGGACAACCACGGTTCCAGTTTATTGTCGTGGAAATTACAGTAGTTCGGAAAAACATAGATTCATTCATCATTTGTACATATTGCCAAAAGTAAATATATAGAGTTTCGAGTTATTTAGCTGTCACGAGAACTGGTCTATTAATAATCCGACCAAGAGTATATCCCCAAAAATATATTTGCTGTTTATGTGAATCCCGTAACGTAACGTCTCCTCATAACCAGATTCGGGCGTATAACATAATTGACGAAAATTTTGATAGTTCCTTGCTCCTTTACTTAGAAACCACACTCGGCCGGGATAATGTAGTCGTCCATTACACGAACGATACGCAGTTTACCCTCAGAGTCAACGCCCACTTGACCCACTTCAGCCTCTAGCTTCTGTTCATATTCAAGGCGCTTCAGATTCTGTTCTCGACGACGCACCACCATCGCAGCTGCGGCCAAAGCCTCGTGCCGCAGCCAACTGGACATGATCCAAATACTGCGTAGACGCAATATTAGCGTAGATGGTTTCATTTTTCTGACGCTTTGTACGCGGTTGAGAATCGGAAATCGGGTGTCCAACACACGCAGTATTATTTGTCTATGTCCAATACTATGAAATTTGAAAGGAACTCTCGGTCAGGTCAGTTAAAAGGAATCACATACAAAATGTGTAACAAATGTAAAAATATTCTGTATTATTTGAATAGTGTTCTGCTTGAGTTTAACTGAGGAACGTTTATAAATTTGGAGTCAACTGGGGGAGCAAAGGGCTTTCAAAGTTTCTAGCTGCGCCTGCTGAGTATTAAAAAAAAAAAAGAAGAAGAAAAAAATCCCATTGCTTCACTAATCTTTCTCTGATAGCTCAGCCAGCCAGCAGGCCCTGACAGCAATTCGGAGACCGCCAATCCACTTGGCCAGCCAAAGAGAGAGAGAGAGAGACAGAGAGGGGGAGAGGAGCATAGACATGTGGCATATAAACCATTCAATGGCAAACGCAAAACCAATTAAACCAAACATTCTGGTTGGAAATACATTGCCTGTGGGCATCGCTAGATTATTGTTGGGCTGCGGGGGATTAGGTGGGCCAAGGGCCAAGGCCTACTGCGTGGTGTGGGCGTGTAATTGACGAACAGCAGCCGAATTCGGAAGCAGCAACGGGAGCAGGCAGTGCAGGTGAGTTGGAGAATGCAATGACAACAATACGAAATGAAATGTAATGACAACGACGTGTGTATAATTAAAAAGGTAGCCAGGTTGGCCCTGTTTGGGCGTCCGAGCAGGGCTCGAACAGCGGCGGCTTCTGTTTCCGTTTGACCTGCCGCGAAATGAATTCATTAAGCCGCCTGTTCTCGGCAGACTCCCAGGCTCCTCGTCGCACCTCTACTTAGTCCTTCAGTATTTCAATGCGAATTAAAACGTAATTTATGTTCAGGGACACCGCTCGACCGTTTTGTTGTGTGGCAAATGACCCGTAAAATGCATTTCGATATATTGACAGTTGAGTGCCCGACATTCGATTGCATATTCTCTAATCCCGCAGATTTCAGATCAAAGCAGCACAACAAAAAGCCACATGTCGGGTAGAGTTTGGACAGCTTGCTGTCCGGGATTTGAAATGCGATTGGATTCATTTATTTACATAAATGCATCGACTGCCCATCAATTGTTTTGACGAGCTTGCAATGAGTATATAATTTGATTTAAAAGTGTGTAGAAGAAGGAACCCGCATAATTGCTGCTATATTTTTTGGCGTGTCTCTTTATTAATTTCACAATTTAGTCTCAGAGCAACTCTGCTTAAAAAGTGACTCTTCTCCCTTTTCTCAACACTGTCAATTTAGTGATGAGTAAATAGCAAAGATCATCAACAGCTGACCAGCAGCTAACTAGACCTTAAAACAGTGCTACAGTATTAACAGTATATATGTAGATATGTATATCATATATATGATGAACAACTATTTATGAAATGCTGTTAAGTATATAATATTCGACATATATTGTTTTTTAGCTCCGCCAATAATATTCGACATATATTGGTTTTTAGCTCTACCAATAGTTTTCAATCTGATATTCCATTCAGCACGGACACTGTACAGAGCCGCTCTGCGTCAGAGTTGGGTGTTAAAAGTAGAGCATCAAGGATAATGAGAACACTTTCACGCAGCACTGTATGCTGCTAAGGGGCACACACACACACACGCACACGCCACTTGAGGTCGGCCACCCTAAGATATGTACATATAGACAGTTAGAGTAACGGGGGCAGGGGCAGATGCGACAGGGGGACGGGTTAAACAGATTGCGGCCGTAATTTGAAAGCGAAAACTCATTTGATTATTAAGCTGAAATAAATGCGACAGGGAGTTAGAGGGGAAGCAGAAGAGGAGGCGCTTCGCTTGGTTGGACTATGCCAACAACGCCCCCTTTCAAGAGCCCAGGTGTGCTTGTGTGTGTTAACACAGGGCAGGTGAGAAAAACGAGAAGCTTAAATAAATTTAATTAAATAACATTTTCCTTTTATTGTATTCATTTACTTTACGAGCATTCGTATGTATGTATAGGAGTATATAGGCGACACAAGAACTGTGAGTATGTGTGTGTGTGTGTTATATGATTGCAAGATTCATTTCTCATAATGGTTATGATAATGTGTCCTACTCCTGCTCCGGTTCCTGCTGCTGCTGCTGCTGCTCCGGCTCCTGCTGCTGTTCCGGCTCCTGCTGCTGCTCCCCCTGCTGCTCGCCCAGCTCCTCTACCTGCTGCTGATGCTTCAACTCGGAGCGCTGCTGCTCAATGGTCTTTTCAAAATTATACGCACCCACCGATAGGATATCGTCCAGCCAGCGCTTCTCATTATCATTGAGCTCCGCTGTGGGCATGGTGGTCGCCTCCCCAGCAGCAGTGGCTGACTCGTTACCGTTAATTGATGTGCTAGGCTCATTAGCGGGTTCCGCTAGTGAGGGTATAACTGTTGTGCTGGTGCTGGTGACTGAGCTGGTGGCTGAGCTGGAGCTGCCCACCCGACGCCTGTTCGCGTCCGTTGTTAGAATCTGTGCTTCCAACTGAGCCATTTCACTGTCGCTCAATTCGTTCCGCTGCCCGCCATTGAAGATGCTGTTACTCACATATTTGTCGTTGAGCAGCTTGGAGCGCTGTTCGGTATCGACGGCCAGGGCATTGTCGGCCAGGTCGCTGCAATTCGTGTTGACAAGCTCGCGCTGCTTGTCGCCCCACTGTGTGGTGATCCAGGGCTTCTCCAGTATGACCAGGCGGCAAATCGTGTCCGCATCGTTCGCCTTTGTGTCCACTGCATTCAGCAGAATCTCGTAGCGCACCCCGTTCACAATTTCGCGAAAGGCATCGATGATATTTACAAAGTTCATCGAGAGTGGCAGAAATGTCATCGCAATATTCTGCACGCCAATCAAATTGGGCGACAGATATTCCCGCTCCCCGGGATTAAGCACATGTACCAATTTGATGGACGGCTCGCTGATCCCTGCCTCATCCGTGCTCGTCTGCGTGTTTATGTGTGTGTTTTGTGTATGTGTGTGTGTGTGTGTGGCAAAGACAAAAACAGAAAGCAGAACACAAATTTGTTTAAGGAAAATACACACACAAAAAGAGAGAGAGAGAGAGAGAGAGAGAACATAAAATTTGGAACATGGACATAATAATGAATACAGCAAAGCCATGTGCCATGTGCCATGTGCAATGTGTTCCAATTGCTAAACGTGTGTATGTGGGTGTGTGTGTGTGCCAGCACCATAGAACAGGATGGTTAATAGCTCGGGTAAATTATTTAATTAAGTGTTAACCCACTATATAATATAGTAATTGCATTAAAAGCACGTTAATTTAGCTGGCTAATGCGTAAGAGCTGAAAAGCTGAATTTTGGGATTTCCATGAATTGGAGAAAATCTATATTCAATTTAATGCAAAATATTTTTAACATTGTATGTATGTATGTATGTGTATTTTTAACATTGTATGTATGTATGTATGTATGTACATATGTATGTATATATCGCAGTTGGTTTACTGCATATTGCTGTAGACCTATAGGCGCCCGTTATAACTCGATTGAGTGTAAGCATAGTAGCAGAGACAGAGAAAGAGAGAGAGAGAGATTCTGCTGCTGAGAGAGATCTGATCGTAAAGCGCTGACTGAAGTAGAGTAACGGAGAGAAGAATAGTAACACTATTTTGAGTGGCTAAGTGATTGGTGAAATTAAACTAAAGGAAGTTTTAATAACTTGCTGTGCTGCGAAATTGCGAATACAATGGATAGCAACCATTATGCTCCGACATATACAATACATGACATTCCGTTAATAGGTTAATTTGGGCCTGTGCCTAGGTAAGGCTATAGTAAAAAATTAATAGGTATTACGAATTGATTTAAAAACCGGCAACAGCTTTAATTATGTGGTAGGCTTCCTCCCTTTGGGCGGCCTAATGAACTCAGCATAATTGCAATTACATTGCGGCAACGCAGAGAGGTGGAGGGAGAGAGAAATCGAGTAGGGAGTGTGGAGTGAGTGCAGAGATAGAGGAGACATTTGACCAATTAAGTCAATCAGTGGAGCAACGTTTTGCTGAGCTTGCGGCAGGTCACACAAACTAATTAACAGCCGATGCAAAATGGGTTGCACATCACCCCACCGCACCGCATTGCACCCAAAAACTAGTTTGAGGATTGCAACAACAAAATTCATCGATAAATGATGAGCCACAAAATGCAGCAAATAGACAACAGATGGCGACGCCAAACGGGTGAAGCCAACGCTGAATAATTTACGAATTAAAAGCATAAAATAAAGACTGAAAACAACAAATACAGTCGACCAAGAGCGAGTACCAGACAAAGAGAGAACCAGAGAGGGAAAGGGAAAGGGAAAGCGAGAGCTAGAGGGCAAGAGCTGAGATTGCATAGCAGCATGTTGACGTTTCGGTCGTTCATCCTCATTGCGGCTGACGTTTTGTGACTGCAGCGTGACAAAAAGCCGAAAAGTGCACAAAAAAAACTTTTTGACGGCAATTGCGTCACTGCAGCAGTCAACGCCAGCAGCGACAGCGCAGTCAGCGTCAGCATCAACTATGTTGATGGCTGGCTGATGTTGAGCTGATTATGTTGTGTGGGTGGTTGGCTGAGTTGATTCGGTCTTGGCATTGTTGATGCAGTTTGTTGCTGCTACTGCTGCAGCTTGTTTGCAGCTTGTTTTTCAATTAAACTTTACGGCACTTTAAGCAACACCCCAAAGTTGCCATAGAACACAAATAGGGCATGTTAACTGAACTAGCAGATATCCTGTACTCCGCTTACATTAACATTTGTGTTCGATCCATATCAAATTTGCTTGATTATAGCCTCCAAGCGTGCCTATACTATAATATAAAAATATTCCTGATCTGGTTAATTAAGCTCTTTCAATTAGCGACTTGTGCTTACTATTTTCTACGAAAATTGCCGTTGACTATAACTTGAAAAACACTAGGCCTTATACCGCTAACAATAGAACACAAGGTACCCTTACCAACAATAACGCGGTAAAATGCAAGAATTTCGCATCGACGTGTCATTATTTTATATTACTCGTTCTTTTGAAAGGGAATAAATGCCTCCGACATTTAAGACAATTTGAATTTTTGCGCATTGTTGCTTGTGCGGACACATACACACACATTTAAACGATCTGTAGACATAATGAGAGAGCACTGAGATTAAGCCAAAGCAGTTTCCTGTAGTAGGAGCGGGATAAAAGAGAGCGATGCCGTTATACCACACAAATCATATGTATTTCTTACTCTCTTGCTATGAGACCACGTGAGCGTGTCTTGAACTCGAACCAGTCGACAAAAATATGCCTGGTCCTATTTTTTTACTCGAATTGTCCAGTCTATATGTTCTAAGGTTACTTCTCATACTCTCTGAGATCGTGATCAAATATGCCTCCAAATTACCGTTAGTTGATATACAATATACCCTATTATTGCCATTGCAATGGTTACAGGGTGTCGAAAGACGCTGATGGCTTTTGCAGATTGCCATTTGGCTATGTTATGAAGGCTTCTCCGTTTGGTTGTCCTGGCAACTTATTGCGCAACCAAGGAGCACACGACCAGCCATGCTTCACTTCTTCAAGCATATTAAATGCATTTGGTTAGCGCATCATTATGAATTATAATTTTCGATAATTAGTTCAGGCCCCTCAAAACTAAACAATTCGAAATATGTAGTTCTTGAATTGGATTGTGATAGCAGCACAAATTTCTCATAGATTCTGAGTGGTATTTTTTCATCAAGCTAAAGTTGTTCAAGCATTTTCATGGTTCACATTGGCCCGGCTTATGTCGAAACTTTCCGCAGCTGACAGTTGATGCCAAAGTTGCTGTTGCTGTTGCAGCTGCAGTTGATGCCGCTGCTGCTGCTGCAACGTGCTGCGCATCAGTGTTAACAGGCTTTTATGAATAAATATTGCACTGGGTGTGGGGCTGGGGCTGATGCATAAAAGAGATGCGCTGGGGTATTAACTGATGCAATGTTGAAAAACTTTAATTGAATTGATGGAAAAAACAAATAAATATTATATATATAAGCCAGAAAGAAGGCCAATCTGCAAATGCCGAAGATTTAATACCCTTGCAGACCCAAGTTTTCACAATGTCACAATGCTTTGCCCGCATCGAAGAAGCACAGTGAAAATAGTAAATGCCGAGAATGGATAAGATATTTTGAAAAACAAAACAAAACTCTATGCAATCAATGCACAGGGAACAACTTAATTTTCGACCGATTGTTCCTATAGCAGCTATATGATACAGTATCGGAATAATGATAATATTTTTTAAATAATTAAGAAGCATAGTAAAAATAAAAAGTACCGAGTAATACTCGATAAACTTTTTTGATAACCAAACGAGAAAGAAAGGCTATCTTCGGCACGCCAAAGATCTAATACCCTTGCAGACCCAACCTTTTCATAATGCTTATAGTGCTTTGCCCGTATCTAAGAAGCACAGGGAAAATAGTTAATGCCGAGTTTGGTCAAGATATCTTGATAAACAAAAAAGGGTTTGTAATCAAAAACCTAGTTTTCGACCGATCGTTCCTATTGCAGATATATAATATAGTGGTCCGATCTTAATAGGGTTTTGCATATATATGAGAAGTAGAGAAACTTTTTTTCATACAAAAACTAAATTTTCGACCGATCGTTCCTATGGCAGCTATATGATATAATGGTCCGATCCAGCTGGTTTTGACATATGTGCTGCGTGCAACAGAAAAAGGGACTTCTGCAATAATTCATATAGATAGCTTTAAAACTGAGAGACTAGTTCGCAAATAAACAGAGAGACGGACAGACGGACATGGCTGTATCGACTCGGCTGTTGATGATGATCAAGAATATATATACCTTATGAAGTCGGAGATGTCTCCTTCTATGCGTTACACATTTCACGACAAAATTATAATACCCTCTGCAAAGGTATAAAAAAAGTTGTTCATACAACTACCTACATTTCGTCCGATCGTTCCTTTGGCAGCTATATGATATAGGGGTCCGATCCAGCCGGTACCGACATATGCGTGCAACAGAAAGAGGGACTTCTGCAAAGTTTCATGATAATACTGAGAGACTAGTTCGCATAAAAACAGACAGACGGACATGGCCATATCAACTCGACTTTTGATACTGATCAAGAATATATATAATTTATGGGCTTGGAGATGTCTTCTTCTATGCGTTACACATTTCGAGACAAAATTATAATGCCCCCTGCAAGGGTATTAAAAATGAGACAGCACGCGAAGGGTAAGGGCTCACTGGGCAAATTGCAATTTTGTAAATTGGCAATTTGCTGTAAAACTGTTGATTTTAATTAAGGCTTAATTAAAGTGTTTACCAACGTATAAATAAATAAACTTGGCCAGAAGTCAAACGTCTATTTTTAAATATGTATGCTCACACACAAAAAAAAAATATTGCATAAAAACCGGTATTGCCCAAAACTGTCAACATCTAGATAGGCTCTGATAGGCTCCAGCGCTCGGGAGGGGCGGGTATTGTGCAAACAGCTTAATATACCCTTACATAGGGTATTACGACTTTATAACGAAACATTGCCTCCGATATAATCAAGTTTTTCGAATATATTCCTGAACAGTGGGAAGAGCAAATACAAATTTGATCTTATAACCCTTCTAAGCTATATGCCTGCTAAGGTATTTAGTATTCGGTGATGTTCTTGCTGGTTACGTTTATTTTGCTCAAGGTCAGTCGCTTCTAGGTGCTGAATAAACGTGTGAGTTTTACAAACGCTTCAGCCACATTTTTAATGAGCACATTTACCTTGGCCAAAGCTCTTTCTTTGAGCCTTCTGCACGGGAGCTTCTTAGCCGACGGCCCTTGCGATTAAAAGGTAACTATTTTGCAGTCACCTGCATTCGACAGCGTTCTACTCTGTTCATTATCAAAGAACAGCTTAAGCGAAAGCGGCTCTTAAACTGGCGAAGCTGTACGTTTTCTTAATTTATCAGGCCATTTATTCAGACAAGGTACTGCTGAGTCTATGCAACTCACGCCTTCGACGGGATATGCCCTGCCAAACTTACCAATCACACAGCGGGCACAGCTCAAGCTCATTATAAACTTTGCCTTCAATACTCCCCCGGGTGATTATTTGTGCTGTGTGTGTGTGTGTGATATTGGATGCTGTTGGGCGCCTTTTAGTGGATTGAATAACGTCATTTTCATTGGCATTTGCCGTATTAGGCGACGAGTCATTGGTCGAAATTGCTCAATGACACAATGGCATCGAAATTGCCTCAATGTTTCTTACTCAGGAGAAAAGGGGGTAGGTGGGGGGAGGGGAATCCAATTTGCATTTAGAGCCGGGGAAAGAGAGAATCGTATTTGACAATCGCTGACAATTTGTAGGCAAACTGTGAATTCACTGAAACGGATGCCGTTTGTGTTTCTGAATTTCCGAAATGACAAAAACAGTTGGACGAGAGCCACAAAAAGCCGCCTCCAGCGACGGTTCCTCTACATTCTGAGCTCCAGCTATAAGTTTATTTTTCTTAAAGTTTGCAAATTTTTTGAGAGCCAGTTTTGTCTCCGACTGAATGAATATGAATATGAATATATGTATATGCATGTGTGTGTGTGTATTCACACATTTAATCACACAGTTCCGCATTTTATTCATTTATGTAAATATTTTTATGCATTGTCCGGCTGTGTTTGTTAGCATATGGAAATCGCCGACAGTTGCTTTGTTTCTTTAGATTTTTAGAGCATACGTTTAACAGTTAGTATATTGAGCATATTAGTGTAAACAGGTTTTGTTCTTTAGTATCGTATTTCGATTTAAGCTTTAGTGGCCTGCATATAAAGTATTTCATGACACAAATTTATTTACTTTTACTCGAACTCGGCTTAAATTAAAACAATAATAAAATTATGCGCTTCGAAAAAGAGTCGTTTGTTATGTAAAAATGAAATCATTTATCGAAATTCTTGAATTTTTTTATTACACACGCGCTGGTTTTTCTGCCAAATGAAAACATTTAATTGATATTGATGACCATGCCCGGCGTGGCTACGGTTTTCCGAGAGGGAGTGAGGGACAGCTTGATTCGCCAGCCTCCTGCCACAGACAGCCTGCAGGCAATTAATCTGATTTTTTGGTTCATTTTACTTTTTTAGCGGGAGAAAAAGTGAACTAGGTGAAATATTGCCTATTGTTATAGTAATAACTAATTATATACCGTTGCTGATTCATGAAAATGTACAATTTTAATTGAAAATTAAACAGGTTTGCGTATCCAGGTGCGCCAGTGGGGACATTATAGTACATTCATATGAGTCAACATTTTTGTTAAAATAAAAACATTTTTGCTACGTGAATTCGAAATAACTCGTTCTTGACATACGTAAGTAAAGATTCATTCTAAATAACAATTAAATAAGTCCAAACTAATCAAACTTAAAGCTGAAACGCAATTGCTGGCTCATAAATAGAAAGAATATCAATGGATCAATGGGGTCCCCATTCTATCGGTCAAACTGATACAACAGCTGATTGCTAAGCTGAAATGGCGACGCAACAAAAGAAACAACAACAACGGACGAGGCGAAGCGACAACAAAAACAAACGGCAGAATTGCAAATTTGATAAGCGCTAAAAGCGCCAGCACCATAAATATAGATATACATATATATGTATATGTTTACGTTCATGCCAGAATTATTTTCTTATGGTTATGTAGTTTTCCATTGCAGCCTTTTATTTATGCATACGATTTTCTTTTGCTGACTAATCAAAGTTAATGTGTGGACGAAGAGACAATCAAAAAGTAAATAAGTATGGCGTACGCGAGCATGCATGTGTTAGTGTGCTGTGTTTGTGTTGTGTTTGTGTGTGTCGGCATTGTTAAAAACAGCAAAGCAAGCGAAAATACCGCAATTTCTGTAAATTGTAATTTCTGCTACGACCGCATTTACACTCAAAAAGCGTTAAGCTGTTGTCTAAAACATTTGTAAATTATAAACAAAAACATAACTCACCTCCTGATCCTCGGCATCCGCTGGCGTCGTTTGGGTTATGGCCAACAGAAAGAGCGCAACTGTTGCTGCTGCGAACAGCTTCATTGTGACAAGTTTTTTGATGTCGAAAATGTCGACAATATAGGCGTTTAAATTTTACGTAATTTCACACGTACACAGATGGCACAGACTGTTTGTTTTGTCGCAATTTACGCCAGTTTCAATGAATTTTCTTTTTGTTTTTACACACACACTACACACATTACAAATCGTACTAACCGTCGTCGTTCACTGACGAACTCGCACTGTCAAGTAACCGTTGCTCATCTATTAACTTTACATTTCATAATGTTATTAACAGCGGGCGCCAACGTTATTCTGTCGATGTTTGAAGATGAAGATTTGTTGCAATATGAATATTTCATTTGAATTCGGTTTGATGGAAAAAATGCAAGTGTTAATTTAAACTAAATGTATTTTTCTAACCAGCAAAACCAACCAAATGTTGAAATTAACAGCTGCTGACTAACAGCTTACAGATTCGTATCAGTTCCCAACAGCTAACCAATCGATAATTACAATGCGATAGTTAAATGTGAGTGACCATAGACAACGATAAAAACTTACATCTCTAGAAGGTGGAACATGCTATATTAATTAAAGCTGAACAGACACACACCAGCTTACTGAACCAACACAAACAACTGACTACACACAGGACTGCCTCGAGCTATCCTAGCCATAACGTATCTGGTCATCTGCCGCAGTACTTTGCGTAGACCAACCCCATAGACAGTTCTCGCAACTGTCTTCACCAAATCAAAAAAAAAAAAAAAATAATTAAAGCTGAAATAAAAATGGAAAAATCTCGCTGTTTGTTTCTTAGGATTATTATCATAATATATGACAGTCATTGCTACCAATTTCATAACATTAAATCAGAGAGCGTGGGGGAATGAGAGACCCGAAACCAGGACATGCTGCGGATACGTTGCCCAAAACGGATACGCTTAAAAACAAGGTGCAAGCAATGCTTGGTAACCGCTGGCAACAGTGACCCCCAAACATAATGGATCCAAAATATTGATAAAGCGCAATGCATTCTGCCATTTCCACTGGAGCAGATATGAGCACTCACATGGGCCGAACATATTTGAATTCCTGTGTCAAAGTGCCTATAGATCCGTGCAATAATTGTCCGGCACCCGTCTATAATCGGCCCAAGCTTTGCATGGGCAAAAAAACCAAGGCGTCCACATCGAGCTGCAAGCAGCAAGATGCGGCAGCCGCATCAACCTGGACAGATCAGGCGGGCATTAGAACACTGGCCAAGTTCTACGACAGCATACCAGGTATTTCATACTTATGATGCATTTGGTGCAAAAAATTGACCTAATTGGAACTCTTTTTAAAGACTACTGTGAGGTGAAACATCTACACAAAGCCGAATTCTACTCAACTCTAGAAAGTTTACGCACCACCAGCCGAGAGCTGCGCGCTCTGCCCACACACCCAGAACTGAAGGAAGCTCGCGCCAGCAGCAGCAGCAACTGCAGTGCAACCAAACCGCGACACATCAAAGGCAAGAAACTAAAGAAGAAGACGCGCAGCATACCTCCGCTAATCTTGGCAGACCAACCCACCATGCCTACTCCCCCTGACATCACGCACAGTTCTAGCTGCCTCAGCGATGAGTATGAAAAGTGCGTGCGTGATTTGAGCCGCATCACAAATTTCAAGCAAGAATTTGCCCTAGAGGTGGCCGACTTTAAACGATCTCTTAAGCTGTTCGAGAAAGAGTTCAAGCGCAATGCCGAGCGACCCAAATCCACCAGTAGTGGCACGCAAGCCAGCAAAGCTGCGCCATCAACCAAGGTGCCAGCTATGCACACCGCAGCACGCGCAAAAGTCCGCAGCGAAATGCTGCGGAAATGCTTTAGTGTCAATGATTTGAGTGTCAGTGCGACACGACCGCCCAAGTTGGAGCTTCTAACGCTGAGCAACTATTTTCCGACGAAAGAGGTACCCAACTTACACATCGAATCCCCGCCGGCATCTTCCAAACGTAGTAGCTGCAGCGCCGCTTCAGGCTCAAGTGGCGTTCGCCGGCGACGTGCTCGAAAGGCGAAAGTAGCGGAAGTGGAGACGGAGCAGCAGCAGCCTGAGCTACTGAACATCTTTGAGGCAGAACAGGTGCCAACAAAGCGCACATCTAGTGTGTCCCCACAGCATCCGGTGGCACGCCCTAATCTAGCAGCCACACTACGAGCCGAGGTTTCACGCAAAAAGGTTAAGGAGCTTCAGAACAACTGCACGTATCACGATCCCACGCCTCAATTTGACTGGGAGGTCCGAAAAACGCCCGCCTGGAAATCTCTTTCACTTAAGTGAGTTTAATGGATCATATTAAATAATACCAAATGTAATTTTATGTTTGATCATTCCAGCGAACCTCATAAGGCTTTGTTATCCATACGCCTAGCCACGCGCAAGGCGGAGCAGGCGCTGCAGGAACGTCAGTATGAGCTGCACATGCAAATGATGCAACAGCGTGTCAAATCCGCACCACTGCTTCTAGAGGGCCCCACCTTTTGGGGCCCGGAGGTTGGCAAGCTCAGCCACAGTTGCCGCAGTGAGGGCATGCGACATGCCTGTGAGAGCAGTCTACATCGTCGAAGTAAGCAGCCCAAGAAAAAGTGCAGCAGTAGCCGATGCCCCACAGCCGTGACCGATGCAGAGGCCAAACTGCAACAGATACGTAAAATCTATGGCTCTCCGCTCAAGTGCAGCTCTCGGCAATCTCAGCGCTCCACTTCGCGTCGGCGTCAGGTAGAACAGACGCCCGAACCGCACGACAGCGGCGATGATTTGTGCAGCGTCGATCGCGCCTTTCTGTAAAACAAAGACAACAACACACAATACAAATTACGTGAAACATTTCTCTGATTCTGACAAAGTCGTATTCCTTTATTCAAGGCTGTTTTAGTGTGTGCAGCGCCACAAAGTCTTTTACAACAGGATAAGCGCTTCTCTCCTCCTCGCTGAGCGAAACATTACCAGGCCGTTGTAGCAAAATGGTGAGCATACCTGCAGCACGAGCGGCTGCGGCCTCTGTGAGGTGGAAAAAAAGGTAAGAACAGCAGAAAAGCCGAGTATAATTAAAATATATAGCTACTGCGAAACGTACCGAGCGGCACATCCGTGAGGAAAAGCACATGCTGCGGTTCCACCTGCAGTATTTGGGAGATTTTCGTGTACGACTCCGTCTGCTGTTTGTGTCCCACGTGGGTGTCAAAGTGTGCACTGAGATATGGCAGCAGGTCGCCAGCTATGCTGTGCTGGAAAATCAGCTTTTGGGCAGCCACGCTGCCGCTCGAGTAGACGGCAATGCGGAGGCCAGCCTCACGCCAGGTATTGAAGGCCGTGGCCACATCCTCGTATACACTGCAATGGGAGAGGGAATAATTGTCAAGTTTAATCAGCCGTACTGGGTTCAACTTACTGTCCCCTTAGCTGTCCGGAAGCATAGCCTTTGGCCCAGATCAAGCCCTGCAGCGTTTTTAACGGTGTCACCTTCAAATCTCTCTCGATAAGATAACGCACAAAGCCAGTGATAAGCTGTGCGTCTACTGCGGTCTGAGTACCCAGAGTCGAAGCATATTCTGCGAATTGAGGCAGCAGTTGTAAATCTTGCACAATTTGTTTTGTCGCATCCGTTTCCCACGTTTCTAGCAGATAGTGCTCCGCATTTTGTTTGGCATACGGAAAAAGTACTTCATGCACGAAACTTATTGAGGTTGTTGTGCCCTCAATATCCACTAACACTACTTTGGCGGTTAAATCTGGTATTGTCATATTGAATCTTTTTTTAAAAAACGTATTTAGAATGTAGCAATTGAATTTGTTTTAAATGTTAAGAGCTCTGCTAACAACGACCGGCTTGCCAACATATCGGTAGTTGTGCTTCGAAATCGATTAATCTTATTAGACATCGATATCACTGTTATAATTGATATGGTGCACACTTGCGCATTTCCAGCACACAGGGATGTGTATGTACCTTATATCGATTATTCTTGGGAGTGAAGCATTGCTATCGATAGTACTAGTTCATTTCGGAACGACACTTATCATCGTGAAAGTGAATAGCATAATTTTTATTAATTTGCATTTGCAAGCAATTTTTGTTGTTGGTAAAGTACGCACAGTTGGTGCCCACGAGTAAATGCAACGTGTGTGTTACTGTCGAAATAAAATGCAATAACGTGCAAAACGGTGAACGGTGAACGGTAAAGAAAGCAAAAGCAGTGGTGGCCGACGCATCTGGCAGCAACAAAAACCACATATCATCTTATTGTTGCTATTTTTTGGCTGGGCGTACGTGATTAAAATGCTTACAGTATAGTATAGGCAGAGAGTTCAATAGCAAAATGAGGTCAGGTGAAATGGCCTGAAAACTAATTGGCCCACACGCGCCGTCGTCGTCGCCGCCGCTTTGTTGTTGTACAATATTCCGAAGTGTGGCTATATATTGCGGGGGAGTGGAAAATCGGCAATTAACGTTGCCAGACAGACTTTCAAGGCTGCCAATATGCTATAAACAGGGGACGCGACAAGGACATGCAGAAGCCACAATTGTCGTCGTCGCGGGCACGCTGCGCCATATGCGGCACAGTTGAGCAGCTGCTGCGATGCGCCAAATGCAAAAGCATTTACTATTGCTCCATACAGCATCAGCATCTAGATTGGCCGACCCATCGACATGATTGCCGCCAGCTGGCGCGACAAAAGCAGAACAACAACAACAGCAACAAGATTCAGCAGCTGCAACAGGCGGTGGCTGCCACAACGCTGGATGTGAGTGGCGCCAATTGCTCTACCGCCCAAATGATGACGCCGGCAGCACAGGCTCAGAGCTGGCCAAGTGAACTGGACGAGTTGTTCAATTGCTTTGGACAGCCCTCGCTGGCCACCCAGACGGCCCAGGCCGACATTAATCAGCACCATGGGCATGGGCATCATCATCATAGCCAGCACAACGGTGAGAAGAGCTCTAGCTATCAGATTGGCCAGGCGGATGCCAGCTTCATGGGCAACGGCAGGTGAGTTCACAATGAGTTCTCATCATCATCAAAATATGCCTACTTCTATCTGTTTCCCTTTCGAACAAGGTATTAAAAGCAAATGCAACGTTTACAATATCAAATCTCAGGTCTTTTTAGTAAACATCTGGTGCACATGCATCTAATTTTGAAGTAAATTATGACTAATATATGATGGCCGAAAAGGTTATTAAATTAGTTAAGTTTTAAAAATGTTAGCTAGTTTCACCAGCTCCAGAAGGGATGGCGACTGTTTGATATAGTCTTCGGTCTCCATGTACTTGGGCTTTTGCCTAGCCCTTCTCGTTGGACTTTTGTACGTATTGCACTTGTCCAGCACACGCTCAATCTCCGCCAGGGCATCACTGCTGCTCTGCTGTCCGTTGTTGTCGGGCGCCACAGACATCTGCTCCCATTGCGGTCGCAGAGGATGGGCACTTTCTGTGCAGGATGGCTGGGCCGCATAAATTGTGGCTACCGCAGCACCAGCACCCTCGATCATGGCCAGCACCAATCCTCCGACCAAGGCACCATTGCCCATTGCTTTGATGCCGTTGCGGGCAGCAAGTATGCCGCCCGTGGCAGCGCCACTTACGATCGAATTCCAAGAGTCCTCTCGCTGCCTGTAGTAGACCATGGTGCAGTCAACCGTGCTGAATGTGGCGCCCCAAACGGCAAAGCTGCCGGCTATTGCCGGCGTCTTCATCTTAACGGAGTCTAAGCCTCCGTAAAGGCCGCGCAAAATACCAGTTGGCGCATTTCTGAAGCCCCTCATATACTGGAACATGGAGCCACCGATACAGCCCATCATAAAGGCACAGCCGCAATCCTCCACAATGCGTATTGGACATGGTTGACGTGTGTATTCAACCATTGTTATCAAGACTTCAAGATTTGTTCAATTGGTTCTTTTGCTAGCTAAATTTCGTAGTGTCCAAGTGTCGGCGGGTCACTGTGAATGTTCGATCTTTGGGCAAAATTTTTTTACTATACAGAAAACGTGTGTTCTTGAAACTAATTTTTGAACAAACATTATATCAAACATTTGTTACACAAAATTTACAAATACCACAAACCTATTGATCAAAGCAAGCTGTCCAACTTTCTCTTCAATGAATTTCCTCTAAAAATCCAAGCGGAACTCTTTAAAAACTTTCAAGCACAATGGGATTCGGTAATGGAACATCAATTCGGCCTTTCCAGTCCAATCCTTATTAAATATTCACCTGGGCAAGGTGTAGTATTAAGCTCCTAATATATTTTAGAAATACATTCCAGAAAATGGTTAAAAAATGGGAATCTATCGAAAATATATCTTTCCGACCCAGGACGTCGTTCCTGATCAACATTAGATACTTTTTAATTTTTATTTTAAATAATTGTTTTAAGCAATGGATCTCAATATGTATTTTTTTGACAGAGTTCTAAGAAAAATAATAAAACGGAAATATGGAAAATATGAATTTTTCGCTTTGTCAAAAGAATTTCTTGACATAATCTTGTATATGATTTATTGGATCGGAGATACCTCCTTCTGCCAGTTATATGCAATTGCACAAAATCTCATTTCACCCATCAGGATATAAAAAGATTTAAATAACTTTAAAGTTTCAATAGTTTTATTTATTAAATTAAGAACAATTTAACAGAGAGATTCCACATAGAGATTCTTATTAACACATATATGTAACGCGATAAAGCCAACGCCCCGGAAAATGCGTACTTATGAATGTACATTCTACATTCGCGGCTGCATACATACATACATAGATAGTTACTTACACACATGCACACACAAGGCGCTAATTAGCGATAAGCTATACGTGCTCGGATCTTTGGCGCTGCTGACTGCAGGCCCGTTAATTTATGGTGTTCTTTTTTTTTTTTTGCCAAAAGCAAATATATGCCCTGCGATTAGATTTGGTGCAGTTGCGAATATGGCGCATGGCGTACGTCGTCTGGAATGTTTACTGTTTATTATTGCCGTTACGTGCAGCGTCATGTAATGCATATGGCCGAGTTGAGACGAATCGAGCCGAACTGTCGCGATTCCCATACCGAGTAGGTGCACGTACACACCTGAGCACATTGTTTGATTTGTTAACACCTCTTGCGAAGTGCAGTCGCATTTTCTGAATGGCGCCGCTTACTTTGTAATTATTCTGTTGCGCAGTTGGCCGGTCCAAATTGTTTCTACATATATTTTCTTTTATTTACACATGCTGTTTAAACAGATACATATAAGAAAACACACGAACACAAACCAGCACACAACTGGCAAAAATTCTAATTGCAAATGGCCGGCCGATGACTTTAGTGCTGATTCATCGATAAATTTGCGAATTTCTTTTGTCGTTTTGTTTTGCTAATCGTCTTTGGTGGGTGGTCTTCGTGCTTCTTCCTCTTGGGTGGCCCTTCGCAATTGTTTTGCGTACGTGCCGTGCGTACGCAAGTCGTTACGTTTTTATTTAGCTTCTTATCTGATTGGCAAGTCTTTGCTGCGTTTTCAATCTTTCGTAGGCGCTGCTTCGCGTCTCAAGATTGGACCGGGTCTGTTGTTCTTTATTAAACAATTAGAAATGGCATGTCGCATGACTTAGTTCGTTAATTTCTTCTTACAAGCAAACATATGTATGTCATCTATGAAAGTGCCTAATTTGTCAGACTCGCGGCACAAGAAATTAGCAAAAGTTAAATGAAAAATGTTTTAACGATCAAAATCAACAAAATCAGTTGCTGCCATTATATGTTACAAACATTTTACAGCTGCCTTCTGCTGCGTGCATTGCAGGTGATACAGTTTGCAGCCCCACAATATGCCCAGCAACAAACAAGACGACAATCTTACATACATACTTACGTATGTATGAAGCTTGAACTACGTCTGGCCGCGCACGTCACAAGGTCGCCATGAGTGCGTGCTCGCCGCCCTCGACAGCATCGACCACAAACCAGTGCTGAGCAATGGAATTAGCTGTGACTCGCACGCTTTTGCACATTATGTATGAATTTATAGTCCTGCACTTTATTCTCTCGAGAGGCATTGTTTTATGAATTACGTTTTATAAGGTACCCGCAAAAATGGCTTGTACATATTTTCTACAAATTCCTAATTATTTTCTACCCGTCGTTGCCAATGTTAATTGTGACTGTAAAGAAGTACTATGTGGGACATCTCTGTCGCGTGGTGCACGTGCCATGTTCGCTGACTGCGCACGTACTGTATTTAAGGGCTACAATCAATCATTGCGCTTTGTATGTATGTTTTTGTGTATGTTTGCTGCTGGGATCCCTTTCAAAAATGAGTTAGACGGGTGACTTTGAACTGGGCCGTTGACCCAAATTTTGGAGTACGCGCCGGTCTTCATCTACATATATACTAACATATATTTACAAAGATACACATATATACACATTCTTATAAATATGTATGCCCATGCATGTATTTACAGCTGTTTCTTTAGTTTCTCGTATTTTTCCCCCATTCGCTTTGGCAAACAGATTCAAACGCCTTTGTCCATGCCTCTCTCTCTTGTGGCGTCTTCTCTTTCAGTCGGCCGTTTTGATTTTCATGCATGTGCCTTTGTTTTTGTACTGTACGATGGGCTACGTGAGCGCTAGCTCGTTTATTGTGTGAGTGCTTCGCGTTTGCCTTCTGTGTTTGCATTCGTGTGTGCTGGGGACAGTTGCAGGCAAGTTGAAGGGCACGCGGAAATCAGTCGTAACCAATGAAGTTTGATAAAGCCAAAGTTGCCAGCTGTTAGCATTTTCAATTATTTGCAGCTATAAACATAAATATATATTTATATATATATATATATATGTATGTATATGTAAACACGCAAAGGTAGCTCTATAGCAATAATTTCTGCTGCTCATGCCTCTAACGCAACTCACAGAGAAATACGTATGCGTTACAAATACATGTGCAATATAATCTCCCACGGTGCGGTCGAGTCGGTCGGCAGTTCACTGCTGCTGCTGTTTCCGTCACCTCAGTAATGAACGTGCGGTCGACGCGAGCGGTTCGTTCTTTGATGCATAAAAATAAGAGTAGTGCACATGGGAGAAAAATTAAATAAAAACAAACACACTTGCCCAAAAGAACTATTACAATTGAAAAACAATTTACAACAGCTGGTTCTTTATTTGTACCGGTATTTGCCGGTCTGTGCTTACCAACACTGTGTCGATACAAAAGCCGGTGCTTTCTCTCTCTCTCTCTCTGTCTCTCGGTCTCTCTCTCTGACTGTTGCTTCCCACCTGCTCTCAATCGGGTATATAAAAACAGGCAGGCAATTTAAAACGTTCATCAGTTGTGCGTGAATTGTTTCCGGAGTCGTTTCCGATTATCAAGCCTGTGTTAAAGAACAGAACAATTATAAAAGCCCAAAGTGTAGAACAAAAGAATAATTAAAACCGATAAATCAAAAAACGCAAAATGATTACGTCCACGACTGCGGATTATAAAAATTTCTTCAAGCATTCGGCGCATCCTGCCAATGCTGAACAATATTTTCGCGAACTTTTGGATAAACGGTAATTCAAATTGATAACTGTTTTTAGCATTACATTTTTTTTTTATAATTAGCATTGTTGTGGTCGATATAGAAACCGGTTTATCACCGTTTTAATGTTGCGATGTATAACTTGAGACATTTTAGTAATCGTTTTTCCAACTTTAAAGTCGAACGCGATTTCTCACAAACTTTCAAATCATATATGTATTTAAGTACCTTTCTGATTTATTGTATTTTTGCATATTACCTTAAAGACCAAATTTGCTGCGGCTTTCAAATTTATACGAAAATTGTTATTTGCTTTGCTTATCCAGACTTCATCTCTTGCCTCGAATTCTCTTTTCTTTGTGTGTAGCTGTGTGTGCTGTGAGTTTTTGGACTACGTGACTGAAAGATGTCTAATAAATACAGCAACAATTTTATGGGTTGGAAATCATAAAAACGATATAAAACATGCAAATGCATATTAATTAAATTAAACAAAATAATGAATATTACTAATTATTTGAATTTCAATGAGTTCAAACGTTGGCTACTCCCGGGCTAATATGCCAAGGTGACCCAAGAGCTGCAAGGGGGGAGTTGCTTATAATCACAGACGAGATGAGTTCAGATTAACAGGGGATTATTTTAACTAATTTAGCTGTTTGTTTGTTTGTTTTTGTCTCCACAGCGAACGCCGATATGAAGATCTTTGTCGCAATATTATCAACGACATGAATCAGTACGGACTTTCTGTGGTGGATGACTTCCTGGGCACGGATAAGGGTCTTAAGATCCTGAACGAGGTGCGCAGCATGTACAATGCGGGCGCCTTTCAGGATGGTCAGCTGGTGCATAACATGAGAACCGATGCGCAATCCTCTAAGGTGCGCGGTGATAAAATTCGGGGTGATAAAATTAAATGGGTCGGCGGTAATGAGCCCGGCTGCACCAATGTGTGGTATCTGACCAATCAGGTGAGCTTTCGAACGGTCTGAACATTCCGACATCTGACTGACCTACTGTCTGTCTCAATTACAGATTGACTCTGTGGTGTATCGTGTGAATACAATGAAGGATAATGGTATCCTGGGCAATTACCATATCAGAGAACGCACGAGAGTAAGCACAATTCAAGTGAAAATATGCGAACATTTTATTTAAGCTCATGATTTCTGCAGGCTATGGTCGCTTGTTATCCAGGCTCTGGAACGCACTATATTATGCATGTGGACAATCCCAACAAGGATGGACGCGTCATTACAGCCATATATTACCTAAATATCAATTGGAATGCCAGTGAAAGCGGCGGCATACTGCGGTAAGTTAATCAAGCGTTGGCTTACAAAGGAGCTTTTTTTTATAGTTGTATTTTTGTCAACAGGATCCGGCCTACGCCGGGTACAACTGTGGCCGATATTGAACCCAAGTTTGATCGTCTGATATTCTTCTGGTCGGATATACGAAATCCGCATGAAGTGCAGCCCGCGCATCGTACCCGCTATGCCATCACCGTCTGGTACTTTGATGCAAAAGAGCGTGAAGAGGCGCTAAATCGTGCCAAGTTAGAGAACAGCAAGACAAACAATGCCAACTCTATTGCCCAGCTGGCGGAACCCGATTCAACAACTACACCCGCGTCCCCAACAGTAGCATCAGCATCAGCAGCAGCATCTGTATCTGCATCCAGCTGCTCCACGAACAAATCATTTACACCCGCAAGCATGACTACGGGCACAGGAGCACTGAACGCAAATGTGGCGAGCAGCTCCTGCCCGGCCAGTAACGAGATTTGCACGTAGCCCATTGTCGTTTAAACTGTGTATATATATCTAGACCATGTGTTCTGACTAACGGCAAACCGATAGTGGGCAACTTAAAACTGTACATTATATCAATCAACAAACACATTATATAAAGCTAGGTAAAAACTATTTATATGTAGTTCTTAAGTACGTAATCTTATCGGATACATGAAGTGCAGTCAGGCATAATGTCATTTGTTTTGGCTTTGCCTCAAGACTGCATGAATCTAACCTATATAAATGTGAATCAAAGCTCCTTTAGTCATTTAAAACTATAGTTGTAGTAGCTAAGTCGTATGTTTAGTTCTTTAGTTCGCAATAACCTTTAGTTAACTGCCTTATCAGCGTCATGTTGATTGTTTTTTTTTAATATTGTATCTTATTATTTGCATATACGCATTGTAAAAACTATCAGAATTTGCGTAATTTGCCAAAGTATTAAAGCTTTAATGAAGCGACATTAAACGTGTTTTCCCATCTCAAAATTTTGTTAACGAAAAACTAACTATTTTGGTTGTCTCGCATTGCCACTAAATTCGTCGACTCTCACGCACAAAGATCGAGATTTTAGTGCAAGCAACAACAATAACAATTAAAAATCTCTTTAGCACAAAAAGCACAAAAATATTAATCATGTACAGAAATGCATATATCTATTTTTTGTATTAAATGACAAAATTTACGAAATGTTATATAAATCCCTGCGCACAAAAGTGTGCTCTACTTTGAATATTGATGAAATTGCTGCAGCGCCATCTGTTGTTCACATTTCTAGCATTTGCGACTCAAGGTGTTTGAAAACCTCAAAGCTCGAATATCTTCGTTATTTATCATCTGAATTTGAAATGATATACCTCATTCGACTCGTACTTTCGATTGGCATTCTAAGCATTCTTGATTCTGAAAGATGGAAATATTCGGCTTGTCCTGGAATCAGAAATATTCGGTGCCATTCGAATATATGGCCATTTAAAGTTTTCATAAGCCTCCTTCGGCTCCCATGTGACAGGATATTCTATTTAGTCAATAGCCATGGCTAAAATCAACTTGATTTGGAATATCACAATTCTATAATCTGAAAAATGGTAAGCAAGGTTATGGATAAAATGTAAGTATAGTAAAAATGCGTTAGTTAATATTTGAATATACACTTTATTTTTCAGAAAAGTTGTTCATCTTTGTAATGACTTTACATTTACATATAGTATATATATATATATATATATATATATATATATGTATATATTTAATCATATGTTATATGTTTTTATACGTGTGTTGCAATTGGTGTTCCTGTGCCCACATTCTCCACTCTGCGCCGATACGATACAAATTATAGCACACGTGATTTAAATTTCGCTTTAACTATAATTATATTAAAAACTTCAACAAATACGAACTGAAATATCTATGTGTTTGACGAACGAACAACCAAACGAATTTTAATTGAACATTGCTTTTAACATTTACAATATCCATTTTCATTTTGCTTCGAAACTGTTTAGCTCCTACCAAGGCATATCGACATAGCTCCGCCGACATATCTCCGCCCAGTTTATTTTGCCGGCGGAATTATATGTAATAGACACGCGGAGATATGTCGCTAGCCCCAAACAATTTTTAACAATTCTGCACCTATGTACATATTTCAATGTCTATTTCCATTTTCCAAAAATATTTATGCATATGTATATGCATCATATATATGTACACGAGCGATCTAATTGCCATATCTATGTGTATATGCATTAACATGCATATGTTTGTATGCATGCATATGGGTAACTATATTAACAAGTTGTCTCTATTTTCCATTACCTGCAATTTTTCGGTGGAAAAATACAATTTTCTGCTTGAACTTTTTATTCCTTATATCTCACTGCGCCCACTCGATCTGTTGGGCTCTCTATCACTGTTAGTTTACATACGAGTATGTATCGCTATGCACTGTTAGTTGACTTTTCTCTTATACTGTTATACAAGTCAATTGCAATTTTATCAATTTTCAAAGTTGAGATGCTATAGTTGTGCTTAGAAAAGTTTTGTATTAAAGTGGTTACTGAAATTTGAAAGGAGGCATAATCCGATCGACGATATTTTCATAGGCATAAGCTTAATGCTAGGCATTTTAAGCAGCTAACTTCCCTGCAAGACCTACAAAACCAGAAAGGGCTCTATTATGTTCTTTACTTGGCAAATATAAATTGTATTTTGAATCAATAGGGTTTTCGTGTTACAAGGTGGAGAGTTGCGCCCGAAATGAGACGCATTTACAAACGCCAACAATTTCGGCTCTCAAAATTATTAAATATTATTATTATAAACATTTAATTCTTAACGTTTGTGCGGATGGTTTATTTTACGTTATGTTTGGTGCACATCTACGAATTTTCGCAACTACTCAACACTGTTTTCTTGAATATTCACAACAACTATAGTTCAAAGCAGACACCGTAACACATACACAGCTAAACAAAATAACGGCAAGCAAGTTAAAGTCGCGGGAGTAGGCTCTATTACACTGGCCCTCTGGATTTACTTGATATATATGTATATATGTACATAATTCGGCTGCTCTCTTATGAAACAATAATAAAATGGGCGCTCACATACATAATCTATATATATTTATGTATATATATATAAGTATATATATGTATATTGCTAGTAATTTAGCAGCAACGAAATGTGCGTTTGATTTGTTGTTTTAGTTTTCACTTGGTATATGCAATCTACAGTCTACAAGTTAATTGACAAAAGTTACAATTCAAAAATGTTTTTTCTTTTCGCATTGTTTGATCGCACAACAAAGTTACATATGCAACCCATAGGACTACGAAATTAATGATAACAATATTACAATTTTTATGCATACTTGTGTATGTATGTGTGTGTGTGTGTGCGTGTGCGTGTGTGAGTGTGTGTGTGTGTAGGGCATAATTGACGCACAAATTAGTTGATAATCGATCCACGTTCTTTTTATGATCCATGCTATATATGCATATATATATATTTTCTTTGGTTTTACATTTTAAATAAACGCATTTTGGTCTCAAGATTTTAAGTGTGATTTTGCGCATAGCTTAGTTTTTTTTGTTTTTTTTTGGATCATTGATGCGTTGTGTAAACAAGCCAACATCTTGAGGGGTCTCGTAAAAGTCTTCCGATTGCACAATACAAATCTAAGTTCAATTTGATTAATTCAATTTTCATTGACTTCTTTTGTGTGTGTGTGTTTAAAGCTCACAGAACTCATGCGTTTTTTTCTTTGAGGGAATATATAGGCTTATATGTATACAATAATATCATGTTCGGAAAGGTATGCACACATATATCTTATACACAGCTAGACAAAAATTGTTTATCAACGTTTTTAAATAACATCTAAAATAACATTTTGCGATAAGCGACCACAATTTTGTTGAATATATAGTAGTATATCATATACTTGGTTCAACGTACTTTGCGTTTAGTTAGTTAGTTTAGGTTTTTTGTTTGTGGGCCTTAGGGTGCAAAAAAGTTTCAGCTAAGTTTCTCTAAATTGTTGCATGCTACATTATTTTAGGGCCTAGTTACTTGGTTGAAATATTTTACATCCAGCAAACATTTTCAATTGAAAAGCAATGTTAAACTTCGATTTGTTTTTCGAACTGTGTTCAGTGTAAAATATCAGCAATTTGCTCTCTCAAATATGTAGTAGTATGTAGCTCAGATATTTAGAATTTATTTTATATAAGTATGTTGCACGTTTCTAGGGAGGGAGGGAGCGAGATATTACAATACTTATAATACGTCAATAACAAGAGGTCGCGAGGGCTGCACAAATACACTACAAAAATGACACTTAATTACTGCTTAGATTCAAGTACATCCAGACATCGTGTTTATGTATATATATATATTTGTAGTTATACTCAATAGTATCTCAAAAGGGATATAAAGCCATTTAAGTTTTCAAAACCATTGCATCCACAGCTGCGCCCTTATGTTTAGGGGGCTGGGGGATGTAGAAATTTGTGTTTCTGGTCGTGTTCAAACATGTGTCCAACATATATAGCTAAAACACTGATCAAAAATTAATATCTATCTTCTGGAAGAACCTTTTCACCGCAATGCATTTCAAAAAGTTTGCTGCACTTTTGGATTTTCGGAAAAATCCATTATTGGACTTCAGCTTCAAACAGACCTTTTGCAATCGGTTAAGTTGAATTGTATGTTAATAACTAGACTAAAAGCCAATAGCTCTTTATGGTTTAATTGCCTTTAAGAGTGTCAATTTTCGACTCGAATTTACTTCTCATTTGTTCACCAAAGAAAATTCTGCATTTGTAATTGTTGTAATGTATATTATGTGTATTTCAAACTTGTGTTGTTTCCTTTTAGTATAATTGCATTAAAATCAACATCATTAGCATAATTAAATATATATATAGTTGGTGTTAAAACTAAAGAAAATAAACGCCTTTATATGTATTTCTCTCTCTCTCTCTCTCTCTCTCTCTGTCGCTGTCTCTGTCTCCTGCTGTCTCCCGCTGCCATTCTTTCGGTCTCCCATAAAAGTTAAATCTTTAAAAGATATTTTCGTTTCACTTGCAAAAAGTGGAGGCGTGTCAGCGCCATTGCACTAAAATTATATCGACATTTCTTTTCTTTTTTTTTTCTATCTGCACATGTTTCTAGAGAAAAAAGCAAAGGCACGAATCAAAATTAAATAATATTAGATTAACAAAATACAAAACAATTAATCGAATCGAATCGAAATGAAAACTTGTTTGTTTTGTGTTGTATTTTGGTTTATCATCATTACATTTAGTATAAATTTTGATAATAAAACTTAAGCTTAAATGCATATGTGTGAGTTGGTGTATATATGTATGTGTGTATGTGTGTGTGTGTATGTATGTATGTATGTATGTATGCGATGCTTATGTCCAAAAGTTTCCATATGTTGTTTATTTTGTGAGAGGCGTCGTTTGCCTTAAATTTAATTTTCAATTGTTTTTCTGTTTTCGTGTTTTCCGATTTCTCACTGTTTAAATCTACTACATAATTTAGTTACCTCTTGTTTAATAATATATAATATAAAAACTAAATAATTAATACGTTTTAACGCATATAGCAATTATCTTCTTGCTCACAGACATTTTTTAGAAGCTTTCAACTGCATCCGAAATTAAGGTTAGGCTCTCAGTTATTCTCGTCTTTGTGTTTTTGTATGATTATATATTTTTGTTTTTGTTTTTTTTGTTTGTTTTTGTTTTTGTTTATATTTATTTTTTGTTTAGACACGCGTTAGATTTTGATATCATTCTCAGGTTGTTTGTTATTGTTGTGGTTGGTTTTAGTTGTAGTACACATACACATATAGATATATTTATATATTTAATATTATCAATTAATTAAATAGGTAGGCATCGCTCTTCTCATCGAGAACGCGCTCTCAACACAAATCCACTTAAACAAATGCCCAGCATTCGAGTGTTTTGATAACAAAGTCTTCTTGTGGTGCCAATGGCTCGTTGCCATATGTGCTGCAATGCTGCGATCGGCCCTGATTTAGATCTCCGTCCAGCCACAGGCCAAAGCGACCGCTAGAGTGCAGAGAAATTTACAATAATTATAAGTATAATTATCACACTTTGCTTCTGAATAATATAAGGTACTTACTCGCCAGCGCCAATCGATAGGCTCTCCATGTTGCCCTTGATAAAGTACATATTCTCGCCAGTCCAATGGAATACTTTGAAGCTGGGATTAAATTTGTAGAGCAGGGATTCGCCGGTGCCATAGAAATGATCGGACACATGCAGCGAGCAGGAGGTCAGGGCACCAAATACCTAAAATTACAAATTATTGATACGATTCTCTTTATGTTCGCATTGTACTCACATTGTGCTCTGTATCCTCGATAACAATCAAAACTGGACTCTCCAGTCGCGCCATCTTGCGATACAGCGAGTTGAGGGCGAAACCATGTTGCGATGTGCTAAAGATTAGGGACCACGAATAGCCCTCGGCGCGCGCTGGCAAATGTGCGCATAGTTTTTCACTAAAGAATGTATTTCATTACACGTTAAGACTTCTATTTTAATTTGTATATATAATTAATACACTTACCGATGCTCTTCTGTGAGTATCTCTGTTTTGCCAATTAGATCTGGTATGGGAAAGTCCAGGTCGAAGGAACCAGTTGCAAAGAGTGAGGTCTTGCGATATTCATCTGTGCTCATAGACAGCACCTGAAGAACGATCGAAACATCAGAGATTAGTATATATCTATATATATCAATTCGTTTCTTTAAATTAAATGGTAAAATACATATAATGAAAAAAATCAGCCCAATTCTCTAGTCTAGTCAGGAACTGGGCCGAGTACTCAAATTAAATTTTAGCAAAGTTTCTTGTTTTTATTTATAATTGTTGGATATGGTGTAGCAAGCTTTAAAATTCTGGTGCAGAGTAACTAAGAAATTGTTTGACAGTGGTTCGTTGATTTAAGTTTATAATATTGAAATATATATATATATAAATCTTTTGTAGAATGCTAGAGATACGTGGATTATGGTTTGGTTTCAACAAAATGTACTACAAATAAAAATGCACGCATTGAGCTTCGAACTGAAATCGAAATATGATGAAGTATGATGTACAGAGCGAGAATGAAGAGTATGATTTCCCGATGAATGAAACAAATGAGTTTTGGCACACACACAACTTTTAATTCTACGTAAATTTCGCACAACTGTTGCATTTTGTATTCGCCTAGATTTATTTATTTGATGCTACATATACCGGGATAAAATTTGGGACAGTAAACGTTTGTGTGAATAGTCTTTAAACAGGACAAAATTTTGTTAAATTTAATTTGGGAGCTCTATCGAACTGCACGGCTATATTGGAAGATCATGCCCATTCGAATTGCGGGCTTGCATTCAGGTTGATGTTTAAAAAACTGACATTTGAGAGGAGTTTTCAGTGAATCTTTGTCGTCGTCCTTTTTTTAAGGCCGCCCAGTAACTACTGGCGTGCGCGCTGCTGCGAATAGTGGGCGTGGCTGGTGCGCTTTTCGAATATATTGCCCAAACGCTGCACCGCCGACTCTTTGGTATATTCGTTTGGCATCAGAACGTCATTTTGCAACCTTTCGCGCGTATAATCTTCATCTGGCTTTTGGGATTCGCGCATCTCGCCCAAACGCATTTGGGATCCATGCGGTGCCTGGGACATCTGGCGCAGCTGCTGGTTAGGATTTCCGTGCTGCCTCGGCTGTTGCCTCTGCTGCTTGTGCTGCCTCTGCTGTTTGTGCTGCTTGTGCTGCTGTTGATTGTGCTGTTGTTTCTGCTGTTTTTGCTGCTGTATATTGCTGGTGCTCCAGGAGGGACTATTGGACTTGGAGCGCATTGTTTTCTCCAATTTGGTGGCCATGTCCTGTTTCGATTGTCCCAGCCCGAACAGGCTCTTTTTGGGCATCATTTTGGGTGCAACTCGTTTCGACTGCACGGCAATGGGACCACCCTTAGCCTTGGGGCTAGACGTCGTTGTGTGCTTCGACTTGGAAGAATTGGGGCGGCCCATCGACATGAGACGGGTTTTGGGTGCCGGCGGCTTGCTGGGCACTTTGACCAGCGGCGTTGGACTGACCGACTGAACGATATTCTTGGCCAGCGATGCCTGCACGGACTTGCTGCGCGCATCCAGCAGATAGTTGCGATAGCCCTCGTACTGTTTGTTGATGACACGCTGCGAGGCGCTCATCAAATTGGCGGCCATCTTCGACTGATAATGCAGATCATCCATGCGACTGCCGGCGGCATCGGCCGCCGCAGCTGCCACGGCCTCATCTTGTTCAGTTTTTAGGACATTGCGCTCGATATACTCGCGCTCGGATGACTTTTGCTTATAGCGCTCATCGTGCGTCAACATATCCCGATCCCAGCTGCTTGGCGTCGCCAACAGCTCAGAGGAAAGCGAACTCTGAAAGTGCTGCTGCTTGCGCAGGTCGCTGCGTTGCTTCTCGGAGCGCAGTTTCGCGGAGCTTGAGTACAGCTCGCCCAGCTGGGCCTGCAGCTTACGGCTGTGCAGACTGGGCTGGACAAACTGCTGTTTGACTGTCTGCTGCTCACCGCTGTCGTCCTTGTAGCGTATGTTGGTCGGCTTGCGGCGCAGCGGCTTGCGTTGTTTGGCGAGATTGTCATCGTTGGCGGTTCTCATCGTTTCGACATGTTTCAACGGACGCGGGTGATTCCAGCCCTCGAGCGGATCGTAATGCAACGGCTGATGGAATTGCTGTATTTGCAGCTGCTGCTGCAGTTTCTGCTGCTGCTGCTGCTGCAGTTGCTGATGTTGCTGATGTTGCTGCTCCTCATCGTTGACGTCGTCGTCCTCGTAGCTGGCCAGGTCCGATTTGCCGCGAGCGCAGCTGATGAGCCGCTTTGTGTTCGGATCGACCTGCATCAGCTCGGACTGTATGGAACGACTAATGTCTCTGGCCAGCTCTCCGTTACGCTTCTCCTGCACAACGCCCGCCTGATTGTAACGCTGCTGCACAACGGAGCTGTGGGTCAGCGGCAGCGACAGCGACTGGTGGCTGCTGCTGCTGGACAGGTGACGCCTCTGGGCGACGGGGTTGAAGAGGGCGCTGCTGCTGCTGCAGCTGCTGCGCGCCTGCAGGCTGCTCATCGAGGAGAAGAGCTTTGTCTGTCCGTATATTCTATACTTGGCGCTAGTCTGCGGCACGCCCTGCATCACAATCCCTTGCGATCTCAGTTTTGGTCGCAGTGTCTGCACCATGCCCTGCATCTGGTTAACCAGAGTCTTCTTAACGCCTATCACCTTGCTCAGGCGTCCCACATTAGACACCCTTTGCGCACCGGTGCGCTCCACCTTCCAGTTACCTAGGCGCGCACCTTTCGCCGCCGCCTTAACCAGCTGCTTTTGCTGCTGCTGTTGCTGCTGCTGCTGCTGATGCTGTTGCAGCTGAAAAACATTGTTTGCTGCACCCGCAATCGCGTGACTCTGATAGAAATTTCGCATTGAGCTGAAGGCATTCTGGGCGCTGCTGCTGCTCAGACCAAACTTCTTAGTGCTGCTCATATTTGATGTCTATAGAGGTGTGGTTGTGGGTGTATGGGTGTGTGGGCGTCGGTGTATATAAGGGAGAGGGATGACGCTGTGTGCTTAAATACGTTGAATTTTGACACTGACTTTCAAAAGAGTCTAAACGTTCTTTAGATAGACACACAAACAAAAAATTACACAAAAAAATAGAAAAATAAAACTTTTTCGAGATGTGTGCTCTATGGAGCTAACTATAAAACTAAATTGATTAACTAAACGAACTAATGTCAGCCAAAAAGAGCAGGCTGCTCTGATCTCTGTACAAATTCCAAAGCCCGCCCGCCTACTCGGGCCCAATTTCTCAACAATTTCCACATTTGTCACAATTAAGAGCTGAGCAAAAAGCCAATTTATTAGCTCATTCCGCACATCATTTTTTGATGATGAGCTGGACAGAGACTTTTTTTGTAGATCTTCAGGGACAGGTCGAAAAATGTCAAAAAAAAAAAAAAAAAAAAAAACAACTAGCTTTTGACGTCAATGGCCAAGTGCTAAATGCTTTGCGACACAATATTTTGATAAATTGATAAATATGCGCTGTTAAATATTTGATAAATTCAAAACTAATTCTCGAATTCGCTCAGCGCCATGCCAAACCCCCTAAAGCTAACAATTATTGAGAAATTGGACACATATTATCGTGTCGCGTTTTAATTATACCCCTGCTTTAGGGGAAAAACTAAACAAAATCCCTTAATGACTTGTTTACAAGTTTATTTGTTTATTTCGCAAGACACAATTCGACTCTTCCATGAACTCAACAAGTTAGCAAATCGAACGTGCTTGAACCATTTAGCAGCTGTGTCTGGGGCTGGATGTGGCTTTAATTGGATTAATGCCTGCTCGAAGTGAGCTCTCGTCAAGATTTGACACTGATTCGATCTCAGCTTGACTTTAATGTGCCACCAAGAGCTGTCCATATGGTCAACATAAATCAATTATTTTTTAGTTATTGCATGAATTGCATAATTTATGATTGAACTTTAAGAGCATAGATTAAGCTTAAACATGAGTCAGTCCAAAAACTCCCTCATTAAGCCTGACGACTAGATAAACATGTTAATTAGTTGAATTAAGCTTCGATTGAGGAATATAGTTTCGTGCTTTTTGAGAAAGTTGGCATGCAAATGATTCAAATTTTCAAATTGGGAGTCTTTCATTTTAGGCCAACTGAGCTGAGCTGTCTAACTGGGCCGCAGAACAGTTCGAGCTAAATGCAAAACTCATTTGAGAGTCTCTAATTATACGGAATCCGTCATGCAACGAGTGACAACTCAAAAGCAGCGAACTGAAGCGTGACAATTGCGGCAATATTTAATTTCAAACAAAATACACTTGGCCCCCCGCACATATTGTCAATTTAAGATGTTTATATACATAAACCGAATAGAAGTCAAACGTCAATGACAGAGGCTGCTCTCAGATCTCGCATCAGCTAACCAGTTTTCTGTTTGCATTTGATCTACACACTTTTTGGTATTTTTCTGTATATGATTCATTTGGCTTGAATGTTGTACCTGACGTTGATTGACAATCAGTTCGCACATTTTCATCTGCTCCGTATGAATACGCGCAATATTATGTTAAGTAAACTCGGCAGCAACGGCACGTGGTACATTTAATTGTTTTTTCTTTTAACGTGTTTGGGAACTTTCGACCAAGTTCATACGGATCGGATATCGCTCGACTATATCGTAACGCGTTCAAAAGCCAACTGCCAACTGGCAGCTGTTTTGGTCCGAGCCGTCGTCGTCGTCTCTCAATTAACACAAAACTCAGAAAATTATATTTTTTTCCATTTTGTTTTTTTTTGAGAGCGGAACAGACAAGTTTGTGTGTTGAGTTTGTTTTCAGTTGAGTTGAGTTGAGTTCAATCGAAAGGCGCGCAATAAATAAATATAAATAAAATATAAAATTAATCAAGTTAATTGCCTGCTGGCGAGTACTCCTAAAATACCCTGTAACTAAACGAAGCCAAGGAGTATTTTAATGACCAATTTCGAAAGTCTAGAATGCGATTTATTTTTGTTATTTGCAAAGTAAATTTTATATAAATATAAATATATAAATATTAATATAAATATAAAATTAAGCAAGTTTTTCCTAGAATACCCTGTAACTAAACGAAACCAAGGGGTATTTTAGTGCTGTGTATATCAGATAACCAATTTCGAAAGTCTAGAAAGCGATTTACTTTTGTTAGTTGTCAATTAAATTTAGCAGGGTATGTCAGAGTCGGGTTTGTTTTATTCGTATTAAATTAATGGCGTGCATGGCTGTTTAGCTGATCGAAAGAGCTAGACAAGATGACGTCAGCTCATATTGTTTTCCTAACAATATTTATTTAAATGTCGTTTAAAGTCTGCTCTGATCCTGTCTTTGACTCCATTGCAGCTGGGATTGGGATTGTGGGATGCAACCGATGCGTTTATTGATGAAAAGTAATTTTCCAATTTTTTCCCAGCCCAAGCTGAGCACTTCATTTGCAGTACAATGCCCCATAAAGTGGGCTAACTTGGTTAGAGGAAGAAAACTTCTAGACTTAATTCGAATCAATTTCAAAACAAAACAAAACAAAACACATATGTAATATATGTAGAGATTGGAGGTCAAAACCGAAACAAATTTTAGCTAGGCTCCGTCCTCTGTTGCCTGATAAGATAGTCGATGTCTTTTACCAATTGTTGACTTGGAGCACATTTGTTGAGTCTGCCAAATATACTTGGATACACTATTTGGAAAACTTGGCAATCACTTGGGTGCACAACTGCATTTGTACCTTGTGTTTGGCTTTGGCTGTGGCCGCGGCAAACATGTTCTACAACGGCTGTGCATTAACTGGTTTGGTTATTGCGTCTGAGCCAAAAGTCTGGGCCAAAAAGCCAGACAACAAACGTGTGCAAAAGTGGAACTCAACCCTAGAGCCGGGCCGGCAATCCGAGCGAAAAGAGCCAAACGGGCCGGTCAAACGAGTATTTAGCCGGGTCTTTAAGTAACCTGATACCCTTTTTCTCTCGCAAATTGGAAGAAAGTCACAAGCGCAAATAAAGGGCCATGCGAAACCCTACAGAGGCCAGAGAAGGAGGCTTTACTGTGCCGCAACAAATGTATCTCAACAAATATTTACATATCTAAGATACTTTTGCGTACTCAGAGAATTATATTCATATTACGACTTTCTTGTTATTGAAGTTGGAAACTTAGAAACCAATCTTTAACAGAACAAGTTTTGTTTCTTTTTTCTTATCGTGCCGAAACGAAACGGAATATAATTTCCTTATTTTTTCTCATTCTGTTACTTATCGGCGACTTTTTTTTTGCTTCAGCAAATAGCGAGGGCATGAAATTAAATGTTGTTGTGGTGCGAAGCTTTTCTCGCCACATGTTAGATATCATTTCCTTTTATTTCGCGGCAAGAATTCATTTTAGCTGCTCGGGTCGTGTTAGGTAAGTTAAATAGGTTATCATTTTAAAGAGCCATCATAAAAGTTGCCCCTGTAGGGCATTTTTAAGCGCATTGACCCAAACTCAGTTAAGCAATTAAAGTGCTTGGCATTTGACAGGCGGATAAATGGGGTTCATTTGGCTGACATTCACTATTATACTGTACACGGGACACGTGTAACGTATGTAATAATATGATGCCATAATAGCAGAAGCATCTCAAGCCTGGAAGAGAATGTAATTGGAATACTTAACAGAATAACTATAAAAGCATATAAAATTACATGCATGTATGTACGTATGTAATGTATGTATATTGTACAATTCGCGATTGTTTCTGACAAGCTTCTGTTCTTTGGGCATTCCGATATTTGGTTCTTGCTCTTCCCACTCACCGTTTCATGCATTTCGCCGCTTTCATCTAGCAACGCCTCCAAGCTCTGATCGTCTTTGGTTGGCGAGAGCGGCGGCGTGGGCGAGCGATTCTTGGCCGTGAGCATCGAGCGTGGCAGCAAGTGGCGCCCGTAATGCAGGTAGAGGTATCGACCCCATTTTCGACCTGCAACGCCGCAGACGGCGACAATTGCAAAGAGTGCCACAACAAACCACATGTTGTAAACAATAACAAAAGCAAGAAACGAGATTTGCTGCTCACTTGTTTACAGTTAAAGCTCACGTTGCTCAACGTTTTTGGCCAGCAGTGTGCTTAAAAGCTTTCCCACGCTCAGCCGCATTGCATGCGCTGCTCTCTTGTTTCCGCGCTCTTGCTCTCTCGCACAGCTGCTTTGGTCTTGTGACCCACGAGACTACAGCTTTATATTTTTTCTTTTCGTTAACGTTTTGTTGTTTGTGCTTCTGTGTTGTTGCCTCTGCTTTTATCGCTCTCTATGCCGCCTTTCAATTGCTTTTCCAATATTTTCTTACACGTTAACAGCAAAATGTTAATGTTGTTTACTTTTGCCACAACACATCATAAACTTTGTACACTTTTGCCTATTTTGCTAATAGTATATATGCATTTCAGCGAGCGAAGCGTATAACTGTGTGCGTGTTTCAAAAACAAGTTGCTGACTGACGGAATGAGCGCCGACTGGCGTACATAATGGCAACTAAAAGAACAGGCGCACACAGTGGCCCAAAAAGAAGTTGAGCAAGAGAGAGACAGACAGAGAGAGTGTGACTGGGAGAGGAAGCATACAGGAGAGTGCGGAGTATTCTCTTAAGTATTGGTGCTCTTAGCAAAGCTTTTTTTTAGTAATCAAATTTATTTTGTTGCTGGCTATTTATAACAAAAGTGAGGCGGGAGGGAGGGTAATGCTTCCGTTTAAAAATGTGCTTTGACTGGCGGACACAGATTTTGTTACCAGCAACATGTTGCTAATGATACGTATACGCAATTTTGCGGCGGTTGCCGTTTGGTGTGTAATTTAATTTGAGTAGTGCAAATCGCATGTTTATTTGCGGCCAGTTGTCGCCCTTAAGGGGTCGCCAATTAGATGCCCAACAATTGGGGCATGAGTTGGCGGCAATTTTTTACATATTTCGTTTTGCTAGACCACGTATCATCATGTGCTCTGGCCCCAAAAAACAGCTTAATACTTAATTTGATTGTTGCTACTGTGTTGGGCCAAGGCTGTTGTTGTTGTTGTTGTGCATTTTTTGTGGGTTAATTTGATTGTTTAAAGTGCTGCTCGAACAGGTTTCTGCTTTGGCATTACCTGATGATATTTAAGTTAACTGGTCGCTT